TGACTCTGGGGGTGTTGCGCCTGGGAATGCTGAGCCTGGGGGTGCTACGCCTGGGGGTGCTAAGCCTGGGGGTGCTGCGTCTGGGGGTGCGGAGTCTGAGGGTACTGGACCTGCTCGTGTGGCGTCTGGCGGTGCTGGGCTTGGAGGTTCTTCGGGTGCTTCGTCCCGGCGGGAGCTACTCTCTCCACAGGAGCTGCGTGAGTGGTTCGCCCGGCGCTGGAGGCGAGCTGCTGGAGCTGGAGGTGCTGCAGGTGCTGGAGGTTCTGCTGCTGCTGAGGGTGCTGGTGCCGCGGGTCCCGGAGGTGCTCGTACTGGGAGTACTGGAGCTGCTGGGCCTGCGGGTGCTTCTCGTACTGGAGCTGGTGGTGCTGCGGGCGTCGGTACTACTGAGGGTGCTGGAGCTGGACCCGCGGCGTCTTCTGGTGGTCCGGCTGGAGCTGGAGCTGCTGGGGGTGTTGGCGCTGAGGGTGCCTCTGGTGCTGGTGCGTCTGAGGGTACTGGTGTTGGCGCTGCTGGAGCTGGGGGTGCTGCTGGCGCTGGTGCTGTCATTCGGAGTGTTGGTGCTGTCCCGCTGGTGGTGCTGAGCGGCCGCGGCCGTACTTCGTTCCGCTCCTTGAGCAGGTTCTTGGTCTTCCGCCCTCTGCCAGTCCGGCTCCTCCCTTAGAGTGTCCACCGCCTGTCCAGTCTGAGTCACAGTTACAGCCTACCTCTCCTCTGCCTGCTCCTTCTCCCTACACTGGTCCTACTGGAGGTCTTACTGAGCGTCGTGAGCCTGCGTCTCGTCCTGCGTCGCCTGTCCGCGGTAGTCGTGGTTCGCGTCAGCGTCCTCCCCCTGTCCCAGGCACGCACCGGATGTCTCTGCGTCCCTCCACTGCTCCGCTACGTGCCCCTTTGCCTTCTCCTCCTGAGTCCTCTCTTCCTGTTCTTGCTGACCCGGAGTCGGACTCCCTTCGTGCTGCCAGTCCTACTGTCACGCGTCTCCTTGCTACTATCGTCACTGACCCTTCCTTTGAGTCCGCTGCTGCGTCTGCCTTAGTTTCTGAGCTTGTCGACTTCGCTGCTCGCTGTCGCCTAGACTACGCTGCTAGTCTTGTCGCTGAGTCTGCGTCTGTCTGTCCTCCGTCCGTCGGGGGTGAGTGTGCCCTTGGCACGGACGTCCTTGAGGACAGGCAGGAGGAGTTCCAGTACTTTGCTGCTGCTTCACCTCATCTCGTGTCCATGCTGCTTGCCCCTGAGGGAGACCCGGATGCACCAGACATCCCGACTCCGCGCTCGTACGCGGAGGCGATAGAGGGTCCCTACTCCTCTCAGTGGCAGGCGGCCATGGATGCAGAGATGGCTTCCTGGAAGTCCACAGGCACCTACGTCGACGAGGTTCCCCCTCCTGGGGCGAACATCGTCAGTGGCATGTGGATTTTCAGGGTGAAGCGGCCGCCGGGTTCTCCGCCTGTCTTCAAGGCGCGCTACGTGGCTCGTGGCTTCAGTCAGCGGCAGGGAGTTGACTACTTTCAGACCTTCTCTCCCACCCCGAAGATGACCACTCTTCGGGTACTGCTGCACATAGCCGCTCACCGTGACTACGAGCTTCACTCTCTTGACTTCAGCACTGCTTTCTTGCAGGGCAGCCTGCACGAGGAGATCTGGCTGCGCCGCCCACCTGGCTTCACTGGGTCTTTTCCTCCTGGCACCCAGTGGAGCCTCCGGCGGCCAGTCTACGGTCTCCGCCAGGCACCTCGTGAGTGGCACGACACACTGAGGACTACACTTGCGGCTCTTGGGTTTGCTCCTTTCACTGCCGACCCGTCGCTGTTTCTGCGCACCGACACCTATTTGCCGCCGTTCTACATCCTCGTGTACGTCGACGACTTGGTCTTTGCCACAGCTGACACTGCTGGACTCGCCTACGTGAAGTCCGAGCTGCAGAAGAGACACACGTGCACAGGCCTAGGTGAACTGCGCAGCTACCTTGGCTTGCAGATCACCCGGGACAGAGCACAGCGCACCATTACCCTGACTCAGTCACACATGGTGCAGCAGGTCCTTCAGCGCTTCGGCTTCACGTACTCCTCGCCTCAGGCCACTCCTCTGTCTACTCGCCACTCGCTCTCAGCTCTGCCTTCGGATGAGTCCGTAGAGTCGAGTGGCCCGTACCCAGAGCTTGTTGGCTGCCTCATGTACCTGATGACCTGCACTCGACCTGACCTTGCATACCCTCTTAGCATTCTGGCACGCTATGTTGCTCCTGGGAGACACAGACCAGAGCACATGGCTGCAGCGAAGAGGGTGTTGCGCTATTGTGCAGTACGTCGGGCATGGGGCTTGTGCTTGGAGGGTGGAGTCCAGTGGTCCTCACTGGTCACGCAGACGCTTCTTGGGCTGACGATCAGGCTACGCAGCGGTCGTCACAGGGTTACACCTTCAGCCTTGGTTCCGGCTCTGTTTCGTGGCGGTCTACCCGCTCGTCTTCTATTCTCGGCTCCAGTTGTGAGGCTGAGATCTACGCAGGGGCCATGGCTGCACAGGAGCTACGCTGGCTCACCTACCTGCTGATTGACCTAGGAGAGCAGCCTCGTTCTCCTCCAGTTCTGTACGTAGACAACAAGGCTATGCTGGCCTTGTGTCGGGAGCACAGACTGGAGCACAAAACGAAGCACATCGCTCTTCGCTACTTCCTTGGTCGTGAGCTGCAGCAGCGCGGTCAGCTGCGCCTTGCTTACGTGGCCTCTGAGGCCAACACTGCTGATATCTTCACCAAGGCACTTGCGCCTTGTGACCATCAGCGCTTCTGTACTCTGTTAGGTCTTGTACCTACCTTGCCTCACTTGCTCACTTCTTGACCTTGCCTGTTCTGTTACATATATATATACCTGCTCTTGCTTGTTTAGCGTTATATGTATGTGTGTACTCATGCATGTGAACTGGCCTTGTGGCCTTGAACTTGTGCTCAGAATGTGTGGTGACGTTGTGATCCACCCTGAGCTTGCTTTGCCTTGCTTTGCTTGACTGGTCTTGTGACCACTTGTTCTCCCCCACTTTGCCTATGGGGGTGTGTCAAACTTATATGATCTAGCCTGTGTAGGCTGTAGCGGGTTAGATACTAAGGGGTACACAATTCTAGGGTTTCATATTTGTATCACTTTCATTCCTTAGTCATTCATTCTCGTTCTAATTTTCACAGACTCAACGTCGCGACAGCTACAGCTGCCCGTTGCCCGGGGGGAGGGAGGCCACGGTCGATCGCGACCGTTCGAGGCAAGGATCTGGCGGTGCCGAAGGAGTATCCGTAAAACCATGGCCGCGAGGAGCAACTAACTCGTTCTCCTGGCCGACCTACGCAACTCCTGGACCCCAAGACATCCTTCCTCGTCCCCCCCCCGAGGAGTACTACACTCTAAAAAGCGGGGTAGGCTAGGAAAGTAGCTCTGATACCAGGTGTTATGAATGAACTTGCAGAGTGCGCAGAATATCGAATAACGAGAATGAACTGATTACCGAATGACGATACAATGAGAAAGGCACGACTAAATAGGGGAAGTCCTAGCTAGGCGGAGAGGTTGGGCGAGGATGGCTCGGTGATGGTTGCGATTGGAGCGGAGGCGACTCGGGAGTGGTTCGGTGCGACGAAATAGGAAGGACAGGTTCGTCGCGTGACCCTCGGGATGGCCTCGCTAACGAGTGCCTCGGTAAGGATTCTGTAAATCCTTACAGTTTGAGAATGTAACTTCCCACAGAACCATCGCAACACTCTTTCATGAAGTAGTATGAATATATCGCAAAAGCGCTAGTGCGGTCCAAGGGATTGAGAGATATAAAAAACGGTAGCGCGGTGCGAGGGTAGTCCACAGTATTAAGCAATATTTGAAACACGTCGCGTCGCGCAATTATTTCGGAAATCTGCCTGTCAAGCAGCTCATCCAATCAGTTCGTCACTACCTCCTCAAGTTCAGACTTGCGAACCGTTGGATTCATCAACATGTAAAGGTTATCGACGGATGAAAACCTCCAACCAGATCGACTTCGCGGAAATCGAGAATCAACAAGACGAGACCACCACACAACAGGCAGAAATGGGTCGGGCATCCCGTTTCGAGCTTTCTTGGAGGCACAAAAGAGTGCAAGGCAATCTCTAGGGCGTGCTTTGGGCCAACCGCAGTCAAGGAGTGTCACCTCACCTCACTACAACTCACTTCACCTCACCCGAACTCAACAAACCTCAACTCACCGCATTGCCTTCTCTGCACAGCTCTTGACAAACGTAAGGTCAACGGGGAGGAGCGACGGCCCTTCCAATACTGTACCGTACAGAATCACCTGCCTGCGGGATGGCCAGGGGCGGTGGTGTGGTGGCCTGGTGTACAGTAGCCTCCCGCCAGCCATCCGCCTCTTGTGGCCCTCATCTGATGCTCTGAAATGCGGAGCGGAGCTTTCACATTCGTTGACGTTGACTCAGGTCGTATCTCCAGCACGCGTCAAGAAGGGCTAGTGTCATGACACCAACTCGGAAAACACATGGAGGACTATTCCTCCTGGTGTCAGCTAAACCAACCAATGTGATCGCGGGAATTCGTCCAATGTGCCCAACATTGACACCAGGCTGGAGACGCGCTCACACGCGGCTCCAATTGGTGCCAAGCGTTAACAACGCTTGACACCAAGCCCTTCTTGACACTTGCTGGAGATACGACCTCAACAATTGATTGATGCCAAACATGCCTCTCCATCATCTAGTTGCCAGACCTAGGCTTGTCAGGCTAACCGCTGGCAAACGAATGTGACATCCTCTCCTAACATTGCCAGCAGAAATTTCCCTCCTAACCCTTCATGTTTTTTAGGCCTCCTGAAGGCGTCTTTATACAGTTCCGGCCTAAAACACGCGTGTTTTTCTGCTGCTATTTGACCCTTTTCTTCCTTCGAATCGCATCTTGGTGATTCTCTTCCTTCGATTTGCATCTCTGTGATTCTCTTCATTGGAATCGCATTTCGATGATTTTCTTCCGCCAATGGACGATCCTCGAAGACGTCCCGCCGGCGCGCCGCCTTCCCGCGGCCCGGCTGGCCCTTCTCCCGTCCGCAATCCCGGGGGAAGCCCCATGACAAGTAATGCCTCTCGGCGCGGCCCGTCCAGCACTACTGGCGGCGGCGGCGGAGGCGGCGGGAGCTCAGCGGGCCGCGGGAGAGCGCGGCCGCTTAGGGGAACTTCCGGCACTTCCGCTCCCCCAGCGCAAAGGGGCGGGGGGGGACCTGGCGCAGCTCCGCCTGCTAAGTCCGCCGCCGCCGGCAGGGGCGCAAGGAGTGGGAAAGGCTTGCGCATGCGCCCGGCACGCCCGCGCGTGCAGTTGCGGAAGTACCCCGGATTAAAGCCCGCCATATCGAGCTACAGTAAGCTACGCGCACGCGCCACGGGTCAGCTCGTGGAGCCGAAAAAGCGCCTGCGGTTCAGCGATCACGTGGAGGTTGCCACGTGGGACGCTGACGTGGACGATAATCACGGCGCCAACTCAGCAGCAGCTGCTGCCTCAAGCTTACCCACCGGTAGCAAAAGGCTTATTCTCCGGAATGTGTTTCTTGGCGCCGCGGAAAGTATCAACGACGCTGCGGAAAGTTTGTTCGGGCAGTCCAAAAGGGAGCTTCCTAAGGATCTGCCCACAGAGTTTGTCCGAGACGCTCCTAGATCGAAGGAGTTAAAGAAGGCTTACAAAAAGGAGATGCGCGCGCGGGGCGACAGTGATTATGCTAAGAAGGAACGCCGACCAAGGACCAAGAAGGACGGCGAAACGCGAGAGCGGAAGGCGGTCGCAGGCGGGCAGTCCGCAAATAAAGAAGCGGGCAGGGGAAAGCCCGGCGAGAGGTCCGTATTATCCAGCGGAGCGCAGTCTTTCGGGCAGCTTGAAACCAAGTCGGATCGGGCAGCACTGGAAAAGAATCTCATGCCAACTGGTAGCAAGAGCCTGAAAGTGGAAGGCGGAGGGGAAGCGGCGGGGGGCGCGGGAGGGGAGCTAGGAGGGGGGAAGGGAGGGAAATTGCTGTCTGGGAGCTTGATTCCTAGAGACCCGCGGACTGCAGCGGCTGCCGCTGCGGCAGTGGCGGCTGCGACGGCGGCAGCGGCGGCTGCGACTCCCGGTGCTGTTTCCGCCAGCGCAGCTGTTTCTGCTGGTGAGAGCGGCCTTGATGCGAAAGAGGGTGACACGGAGGGGATGGAGGAGAAAGTGAGGGAGGAGGGCGAGGGAGAAAAAGAGAGAGACAGCGACGACAGTAGTGTGAGCGATAGTAGTGATGATGATGACGACGACGACGACGAGGAGGAGGAGGAGCACGGGGTGTGGGTGGACGAGGATGTAGAGTCGTCCGAGGGAGAGGAAGACGAGGAATGGGGAGAAGAAGGCGTGGAGCAAGGCGCGCTGGATGCTGACGTGGCAGCTGCTGCTGGCAGCCACGTGGCAGCATGGGATGGCGTGGAGGTCAAGCGGTTGGGAGAGAAGGAAGCGGGGGAAGGGGGAACGGGAGGGAAAGGGGAGGAAGCTGCAAGTCCAGCAGTAAAGACAAGTGCTGTGAGTCAGGCGGAAGGCGGAACCCCCAGGCGCATGCGCAGTCCGTCCCCCATAGGGGCGCCGCTTGCCCCCCGCGGGGCGCAGCCCTCGCCGCAGATGGGCGCAACTGCAGTCGGAGTGGAGGCGTTGACTCTGGCAGATAACGACAAAAAGCAGGTACGGATGGGGCGGGGATGAACTGTGGTGGCCTTTCGAGGCGCCTTCGCAGGCGGATGGGATGGGCGCAAGTGCAGTCGGAGTGCGTTGATCCTGGAAGATTCGCTGCCAGATAACGACAAAAAGCAGGTGCAGTGTGGGAAGGTAAAGGGAATGGGCGCAACTGCAGTCGGAATGGAGGCGTTGACTCTGAAAGACTCGCTGCCAGATGACGACAAAAAACAGGTACGGATTTGGGGCGATAACGATAAGGAGCAGGTATGGAGAAGGGGTGGTGAGGAGGAAAAGAGGGGGGATCTTGTACATACATGCATGTGAAGGAAGGGGGGCGGTTGGGAAGACTTCTGAAACGTGAAAAGAGGTGTGATGAGGAAAAAAAAGAAAAAAAACACCTTGATTGATTGGTTGGTGTGACAAGGAAGGCCTTCTTTACTTGTCATCGAAATGCAAGCAAAGGCAAACCCCCATCGTCCTAGCACCACACCATACATGAGAGCGAGGGTACGGTTTTCGCCCTTGTTGCCCTTGAAATGAGAGCCATGGCATGGCGTCAGTCAGTAACAACAGTGCATCCTCCTTGCATGCTGCTGCATTATCACGCAATTGTAATGCTGCACTCATCAAATCTCGCATTATACTATTGCATTGAACATGATATCGCATTTCTTATAACTCCTCCTCTCCTCTCCTCTCCTCTCCTCTCCTCTCCTCTTCTCTCTTCGTCTTGTCTATCGCCTTCCTTTCAGACCGGCGCCCCCCAAACGAACCAATCAGTCGCCCGTAACGAATTCGAACCCTTCGCGGTTACCGCCGCCTCTCGCCAATCTTGGGGGTCAGCCAAGCAGCCTGGCAGCCGGCGATCCACCTCAGTGCAACTGAACATGAGTGATAGCGATCTCTACGCACATTCTACTGATGATGCTGATGACTATGGGTTGCCTGTGCACGGTGGGGGGAGGGGGAACGAGTTTTCTATGGTGAGCCCTATGCGGCAGCATCAGCAGCAGCATCAGGACGCGGAGCATCGAGCTGACCGGTTCGGGCCTTTATCTGCCCGGGGCACGCGGCCGAAAACTTTTTCGGACGACGAGTGGTTTGGGGAGGGGGGTGGAGGAAGGGGGGAGCGGGGTGGCACGGGGGAAGGCGGGGAGAACATGAGGGGGGGCGGGGGAGGGCGGGGCAGAGGGGGAGGGGCTGGGGAATGGGATTGGGGAGGAGGAGGGGGAGGAGGAGGAACGGCAGAAACTGGCCGAAGGGCTTCGACAGGTGCAGTGGGACCTGCGGGGAGAGGAGCAGGGAGAGGGGGACCAAGTAGGGACGGGCCGGACGTGTTTGGTTCGGGCTCCAAGTCTATGCGAACACCAGGTAAGGACGTTGGAGGTCCGGCTGCCGGACCTAAATCGCAGGTTCGGCGGCCGTCGCCCGTTCACTATGCAGATGATATGGATTTGCCACGTGGGGGGCAAGGGGGTGGGGGAGGGGGGCGAGGGGGGCGGGGGAGGGGGGGGACAGTACCACCCCCAAACAGACACCTTTGGGCCTATGTCTGTTAGAGGACAGAGACCGAAATCTATGTCTGAGGATGATTGGAACGATCAGAGTTACATGAGGGATGGGAGGGAGAGAGGAGGTGGGGACGGGAGAGGGAGGGGCGGAGGAATGGGGGACAGCAGGGGAGGGGGAGGGGGAGGGGGAGGGGGAATGGGGGGGCCAAGGCGGATGGGGGAGAGGCCGGGGGGGCAAGATGGGGGTGGGGGTGTGAGGAGACCTGCTGGTGGTGCTGGCGCTGGTGGTGGTGGCGGTGGTGGTTATGGTGGTGGTGGTGGTTACGGTGGTGGGGGAGGGGGTTACGGTGGTGGTGGGGGGGGGTGTTACAGTGGTGATGGTGGTTACAGTGGTGGAAGGGAGGGGTACGGTGGTGGAAGAGAGGGGTACGGTGGTGGAAGAGAGGGGTACGGTGGTGGAAGGGAGGGGCACGGAGGTGGAAGGGAGGGGCACGGAGGTGGAAGGGAGGGGTACGGAGGTGGAAGGGAGGGGTACGGAGGTGGAAGGGAGGGGCACGGAGGTGGAAGGGAGGGGTACGGAGGTGGAAGGGAGGGGCACGGAGGTGGAAGGGAGGGGTACGGAGGTGGAAGGGAGGGGCACAGTGGTGGAAGGGAGGGGTACGGTGGTGGTGGTGGGGGTTACGGTGGTGGGGGTGGTTACAGTGGTGGTGGTGGGGGAGGCATGCCCAGCCGCCCAGGAGGAGGAGGGGGGCAGGGTGGGGGAGCAGGGGGGGCGCGGAAGCCGCTGGATTGGAAGCAGCAGATGCAGCAGGCGAGCAAGGAGCAACAGAAGGACCGCATTTTCAGGATGCTGGCTGATGGCTCGCAGGACAAGAGCCGTGGCGGGTATGGGAAGAGATAGCAGAGCAGATGTGACTAGACGGAGGATGGTGCTGCTGGGTGGGTAGTGGTTTGCTGGAGGCACTGAAGGTTTGGTGGTGCAAGGAGCAACAGAAGGACCGCATTTTTAGGATGCTGGCTGATGGCTCTCAGGACAAGAGGCATGGCGGGTATGGGAAGAGAGGGTAGGGTTGATGCTACTAGATTGAAGGCCAGCACTGATGAATTGGGAAGGGGTTGTTGAAAGGTTGGTGGTGCGAGGTTGTTGGAAACTGATTGGTTTTTGCGGTGCCTCAGAGATCAGCTATGGGATTCTGCGTCCCAGTCTTGATGTTTTGCGATTTTCTGTTTGTTTTTTCTCTATGTTTTGATCAACGGTGCACAGTGCACTATTTGGATGAGTGGCAAGGCATAAGCTACTTGTTTTCAGTTTAGTCATGCACAGGTGTAACACCATACACAAGAATACACGAGCTCTATACACCACAGGGATACAAAAAAAGGAAGGCCAAATTAACAACAAATGCAGCACTAAAGTACACAAATGAGAAAGCAATCTATCCCAACAGAGTATCCTATCTAGGATAAATGTTAGTAAGTATAGCACATAGCCAAGCAACTCATTGTCCTAAATTACCCGTTGCTACCACCACCCTATATCCCACCCGTATCGCACGGGTAGTTGAACAAGTCCTTCCCACACGCCCCGGGCAGGACCGACAGCCCATTCATGCAATACCCCGTGCTCGGATTTAAATTCGTAGGAAGAAAGAACCTATAATCGTCTACACCCACGGCGTTGTACTGTACAGCGGGGCTGTCATCAGAGAGGTATTCGGTCCCCCAGATGCCCGAGCACAGATCCATGTTTTCGTTTCCGTTATCGTCGGACCAGCTGTTTAGGTTCGGGTTGACCGCAGCCTCGGAAAGCACGTGCGCGAAGTTGGAAATCAGCCCGTCGAGAATTCGGTCACCGTTGGGGTATTCGAGGCCTGCTGCTGCTGAGTGCGTGCACTTGGCGAGAAACTGCAAGACAGGGAGGGGGGGCGAGGAAGAGGTGTAAAAAAGGGGGTGGGAGGACACGTAAGGCAAGGAGATGAGTGCTGACAAGGTCTCTCTCGCCGTTGGGGTAGTCGAGGCCTGCTGCCGCTGAGTGCTTGCACTTGGCGAGAAACTGCGAGTGTGGGAAGAGGGGAGGGGAAGAGGACAAGGAAGGCGAGACGGCGATGAGAGCTGGTAATAATTCGGTTGGGCGTAGTGTTGGAGTACTGGAGACCTGCTGCTGAACAGACATTGGGTAACAAAAGTGATAAGTGAACGCCTGAGCAGACATTGGGATCTCACTCACCCTTTCCAACACACCAAGCACACACTCGCTTAGGCATGCCGATCCATGACCGATTCACAATGCCGCTGCACTGTGAAACTAGGCGTATTGTATAAACCTGAATGTGAAACTTTGCGAAGTGTCAAGTCTCACCTTTTCCGGCTTGCCGACCCATGCCCACTTAATACTGCAGCTGATGTTGTGGAACGCACAGAAGTGGGTTGTTGCGAGTGTGCAGCAAGCATAGAGAGTGAACGGACACACCCACCCTCTCACCTCACACCGACCACTCACCTTTTCCGGCATGCCGACCCATGCCCACTTGACACTGCCACTCACGCTCTCGTTCTCGAGCTCAAAGAGCACTCACTTTCTCAGGCATGCCGACCCACGCCCACTTGACATTGCCGCTGGCGCTGTGGAAGGCACAGAAGTCAGTTGCTGAAGCATGTTGAGTTGATGCACTCACCTGACCAGACTAGAGGATTTCACTACCTTTTCACGCTCAAAGAGCACTCACTTTCTCGGGCATGCCAACCCACGCCCACTTCACGTTCCCGCTGACGCTGTGGAAGGCACAGAAGTCAGTTGCTGAAGCATGTTGAGTTGATGCACTCACCTGACCAGACTAGAGGATTTCACTACCTTCTCACGCTCAAAGAGCACTCACTTTCTCGGGCATGCCAACCCACGCCCACTTCACGTTCCCGCTGACGCTGTGGAAGGCACAGAAGTCAGTTGCTGAAGCATGTTGAGTTGATGCACTCACCTGACCAGACTAGAGGATTTCACTACCTTCTCACGCTCAAAGAGCACTCACTTTCTCGGGCATGCCAACCCACGCCCACTTCACGTTCCCGCTGACGCTGTGGAACGCACAGAAGTCAGTTGCTGAAGCATGTTGAGTTGATGCACTCACCTGACCAGACTAGAGGATTTCACTACCTTCTCACGCTCAAAGAGCACTCACTTTCTCGGGCATGCCAACCCACGCCCACTTCACGTTCCCGCTGACGCTGTGGAACGCACAGAAGTCAGTTGCTGAAGCATGTTGAGTTGATGCACTCACCTGACCAGACTAGAGGATTTCACTACCTTCTCACGCTCAAAGAGCACTCACTTTCTCGGGCATGCCAACCCACGCCCACTTCACGTTCCCGCTGACGCTGTGGAACGCACAGAAGTCAGTTGCTGAAGCATGTTGAGTTGATGCACTCACCTGACCAGACTAGAGGATTTCACTACCTTTTCACGCTCAAAGAGCACTCACTTTCTCGGGCATGCCAACCCACGCCCACTTCACGTTCCCGCTGACGCTGTGGAACGCACAGAAGTCAGTTGCTGAAGCATGTTGAGTTGATGCACTCACCTGACCAGACTAGAGGATTTCACTACCTTTTCACGCTCAAAGAGCACTCACTTTCTCGGGCATGCCAACCCACGCCCACTTCACGTTCCCGCTGACGCTGTGGAACGCACAGAAGTCAGTTGCTGAAGCATGTTGAGTTGATGCACTCACCTGACCAGACTAGAGGATTTCACTACCTTCTCACGCTCAAAGAGCACTCACTTTCTCGGGCATGCCAACCCACGCCCACTTCACGTTCCCGCTGACGCTGTGGAACGCACAGAAGTCAGTTGCTGAAGCATGTTGAGTTGATGCACTCACCTGACCAGACTAGAGGATTTCACTACCTTCTCACGCTCAAAGAGCACTCACTTTCTCGGGCATGCCAACCCACGCCCACTTCACGTTCCCGCTGACGCTGTGGAACGCACAGAAGTCAGTTGCTGAAGCATGTTGAGTTGATGCACTCACCTGACCAGACTAGAGGATTTCACTACCTTCTCACGCTCAAAGAGCACTCACTTTCTCGGGCATGCCAACCCACGCCCACTTCACGTTCCCGCTGACGCTGTGGAACGCACAGAAGTCAGTTGCTGAAGCATGTTGAGTTGATGCACTCACCTGACCAGACTAGAGGATTTCACTACCTTCTCACGCTCAAAGAGCACTCACTTTCTCGGGCATGCCAACCCACGCCCACTTCACGTTCCCGCTGACGCTGTGGAAAGCACAGAAGTCAGACCCAAACCCGTCCACATCCACGTCAGCAGAGGTGAAGATGACGTAGACGGCGCTGCTGATTCGCGGCAGCGATCCTGACAGGATCTGGAAGTTGATGAGCGCGAGCAGGTCGGCCTTCTTCAACGGCGTCTGGCCTGAGGCTGATGAAGCGGCTGCAATGTCAATCTCTGTGTTCTGATGGGGGTGAAGGGGAAGGGGGGAGAAGGGGGTGGTTTTGATGATCCCGAGAGGAGCTGGAAGTTGATGAGCGCGAGCAGGTCTGCCTTCTTCAACGGGGTTTGCCCCGAGGCTGACGACGCAGCTGCAATGTCAATCTCCGTGTTCTGATGGGGGAGAGAGCAGGATGAGGGTCAGATGGGGAAAGAAGAAGATAGAAGGGGAGGAAAGTGGAAGTTGTAGACGGCAACCGGGTCGGCCTTTTTAAGAGGAGTCTGGCCCGAGGCTGATGATGCAGCTGCCACGTCAATCTCTGTTTTCCAATGGGGGAGGAAGGGGATGGGAAATGGGGGAGGGAAGGGAGGAGGGAAGGGAATGGCTTTGATGATCCCGAGAGGATCTGGAAGTTGATGAGGGCGAGCAGGCCGGCTTTCTTCAGTGGTGCCTCGCCCGCCCGAGGCTGACGAAGCGGCTGATCGATCTCCGTGTTCTGATACAGCAGTGAGGGTCAGATGCGGGAGAAGGAGATGAGGGGGAAGAGGATGTGGAAGCTGATTAGCGCGAGCAGGTCAGTCGGCTTTCTTCACTGGTGCCTCGCCCGCCCGAGGCTGACGAAGCGGCTGATCGATCTCCGTGTTCTGATACAGCAGTGAGGGTCAGATGCGGGAGAAGGAGATGAGGGGGAAGAGGATGTGGAAGCTGATTAGCGCGAGCAGGTCAGTCGGCTTTCTTCAGTGGTGCCTCGCCCAAGGCTGACGAAGCGGCTGCGATATCAATCTCCGTGTTCTGATGGGGGAGAGAGGGGGAGAAGGGGTGGAAGAGGTGGGGGAGTGGTGAGGGGTTGGAAGGACGGAGGGCGTTTGCGCTGGTGCATAATCCAGCGAGGATCTGGAAGTTGATGGGAGCGAGCAAAGGCGAGGGGGCGTACACTGTGGGAAATCCTAAGAGGGGACGGACGCTGCGGGATGCCCTAAGGAGGGAGGGGACGTACACGCTGCAGGAAACCCTAGGAGGGAGGGGAGGGGAGACGTACACTGCGGGAGACGGTGGGCGTGACGTAGGTGGCGCCGGCCTTGTAGAGGCGGTTGATGTTCCACCAATCCCTGACGCTGCCGGGCTTGTTGGCCAGCGTGTCGTCGGAAATGGAATCCACGAATTTCTGCACGGGCGTCTTCTGCGACGCGGGCCACGTGCCGTGCCAGATGAGGTACACTTCCAAGGGTTGCGACATCACCGGGCCGCTTTTATATGAGACGGTCTTGGGCGCGTAGCTGGGGACTGGCAGGGGGAGCGGACGGGCCCGGGGAGGGGCCGGGGGGAGCGCGGGGGGAGCAGGGGAAGGGGGGAAGGATGGGGGAAAGAAAGGGGAGGAGAGGGGGCTTGTTGGCCAGCGTGTCGTGGGAAATAGAATCCACGAATTTCTGCACGGGCGTCTTCTGCGACGCGGGCCACGTGCCGTGCCAGATGAGGTACACTTCCAGGGGTTGCGACATCACCGGGCCGCTTTTATATGAGACGGTCTTGGGCGCGTAGCTGGGGACTGGCAGGGGGGGGGGGAGGGGGGAGGATTGGGGGGAGGGGGCAGCCGGGGCCAGGGAAAACAGGGTGTGAGTGAATGAGGGGAGCAGCGCATGCCATGGCAGATGAGGTAGACTTGTAGTGGTTGCGACATCAAGGGACCGCTCTTGTAGGGGGGGGGAGGAAGAGGGAAAGGGGGGAAAGGAAGGGGGAAAGGGGGGGGAAAGGGGGGGGAAAGGAAGAGGGAAAGGGGGGGGAAAGGAAGGGGAAAAGAGTTCAAACTTCCCACTCACTACTTGTTACCAGCTCCCACTCACCCCAGCCACCTCGTCCGCTGTACAGTTTCATGAACCCTACCTTTGCAAAGTCTCAAACTCCCCGGCATCCCTCGGCACCACACCCCACCCACGTCATGTATTGAGGAGGCTTTTAAGGCGCTGCAAAAACCACCCTAGCACCACACCCCACCCACCTCGACCGCTGTACGGCTTCATGAGCCCGAGAGTAAACCCGCCAGTTCCCTTCTTTGATGAGCCATCTGTCCTTCTGAGTGCACTCCCGCTCACTCCCGCTCACCGCTTTCTACCGCTCTCAACTCCCACCCACCCACCTCGACCGCTGTAGGGTTTCATCAGTCCGCGAGAAGACCCGCCTGTAGACTTCTTTAATGACCCGCCTGACCTATTCTGTGCAAAGTCACTCCTGCTCACTGCTTGCCACCACCTCCCACCCACCTCGGCCGCTGTACGGCTTCATAAGTCCGCGAGAAGACCTGACCCGCCGCCCCCCATCACCACCCGGGCGGCGCCCTTCCAAGTCAGTGCACTCAATAGTCACTCCTGCTCACAGCTTGCTACCACCCCCCACCCACCTCGGCCGCTGTATGGCTTCATGAGTCCGCGAGAAGACCCGCCTGTAGACTTCTTTGATGACCCGCCTGACCCGCCGCCGCCCCACCACCACCACCGGGGGAACCCCGTGCCGATGGTGATGCGGATAGGCGGATCCGTGCTGCCTCCGCTGCCCGTGCTGCTCGTACGAGATCCGCCGCTCGTGCTCGTGCTCGTGCTGCTGGTGCTGCTGCTGCTGCTGGTGCTGGTGGCGCGAAGATTGGTGGTGTCTTTGGTGTTGGTGCTGGTGCTGGCAGTGCGGGCGTTAATTGGACCTTCGCTGCTGGTGCTTGCAGGGTCGAACGCAGCAGCAGCGACAGTGGCATGAGAGGGCTGCGAACCTGGGGATTGACGAGGGCGGAAAGGAGACCGGGGGAAGGATGAGATGAATACTAAGAGTACCTTCGCTGCTGGTGTTGGTAGGTTCGAACGCAGCAGCAGCAACAGTGGCATGAGAGGGTCGACACCTGGGGATTGACGAGGGCGGAAGGGAGACAGGGGAGAGGGCGGAAGGGAGACAGGGGAGAGGGCGGAAGGGAGACAGGGGAGAGGGCGGAAGGGAGACAGGGGAGAGGGCGGAAGGGAGACAGGGGAGAGGGCGGAAGGGAGACCGGGGAGAGGGCGGAAGGGAGACAGGGGTGAAGGGCAGATACTCAGAATACCTTCGCTGCTGGTGCTGGTATGTTCGGAAGCAGCAGCAACAACAGCCGCATGAGAGGGCGGAACACCCGGGGATTGACGACGGCGGAAGGGACACAGGGAGGGGGGGAGGGGAGGGGAAGGGAGGAAACGGGTAAGGGCGAAAGGCGGGAAGGGAGGAAGGGGGCATGGAAGAAACGGCGGAAGGCAGGAATGGCGGAGTGAGGAGGAGGGGAGGAGGGGGGGGTGTAAGCGGGGGAGAGGAACGAGAGGGAGGAGCGGGGAAAGGGATGGTAGGAGGAGCAAGCGTGAGCGAAGGGATGCAGGCGCAACGATGGGGACTGAGATTGACTGGGGGAGCGAGGCCTGGACACGAGGAGGGACGAACTCGGGGGAGAAAGCATCAACGGTCGCGATGCAAGGATTGTTGAAAGGGGGTCAGCAGCAACGGTTGCGATGCAAGAAGATGCGGAAGCGGACGCAAAGGTACACCGCGAAAGGAGCAACGCTTTTCGAGGCGCCTCAAGGATTAACGCTTCCTACGACGGCTCGTTGCTCAAGGAGTTACCAAGGCGCCTCAATAACGGTATGCCGCGGATGGAAAAACGCTTTCCAAGGCGCCTTGAAAAGGTACACCGCGAAATAGAGAAAAACGCTTTCCGAGGCGCAACAATTCTGCTACATGATGTTTCGAATGAAGCACTAAAACAGGTAGACCGCGAAAGGCGAAACGCGGATACCCACCGTGCTCACTACTAAAATAGACGCCGAGTCGCTCCAACGCCGCTTTACCCTCTGCACGTGTACGAAGGATGACATGAAGGAGAGGGAACAAGGGAGACACGCGGGTGGATACGGTGGATACGACGCGGGGAAGGAGAGGAGACGATGTAACAATGTAACCAGTGTAGAAGAGACGAGAAGGAGCGAGCTTGTAACTTGTCACGAGAGAGGGGAACCTGCTTCTAATTCTGCGGACGCTATGAACTCCGTTTCTAAAAGTTCTGAAAGCTTCTAGAAGTTTCTAGAAGGTATTAGAAGGCTCTTCTGCCAACCGACCCAGGATGACCTGTTGCTCCGAGCATTACTGTGGTTTTCAAGAATGGAGGCAAGAAGCGTTTTAAACGGAAACGCTTGGCCAGGCCTTCCCGTGCTTAGTCGAGATAAGCCTGTGCAGCGTGCTCTAACGGAGCGTCAGTGGAATCATAACAACGGAATTCTTCTCACGCAGTTAGGCTAAAAATCATATTCAAGAAAAAGTTCAGCTTGTCATAGTGGGTAGTGTTGGTAGTGTCGGCGAAGCCTATCCACCCAAATCTTGGAAAAGGGAGTCGCGGTTAGTCTACCTTCAAGGCGCGCCGCTTCCCGTGGTGTTAAGTGCGACTCCACTCGCTGCGCGAATGGTGCAGCTGCAAGCGCCAGGAATAACAGTAGTAACGCTATTCGTCGGTGAGACATGGCGGTCCGTCTACACCTCTGTCTACAGTGTAGACAAAATATTGGAAACGCTCTTCGACGTTCTAGTTAGCTAGCTCTCGCTGCTGGTAGACTATGGTTTGTAGTACCTGTAGAAGAACGTAGTTAGGGTTACAACCGCTTGAAGTGACACTAGAGGCAACGCAGCCAATTCTACTTGTTTGAGCAGGTCGGTTCGGCTCATTCCTCCCCTTTATCGTCCATCTGCTGATCGAGGAGACGCAAGCAAGTGGTGAACGACGGAAGCCATGACCGTGACGTGTTTTCCTGAGCCAGACAAAAATGGTGTGGTGGTGGCGACTGTGCTGACCTAACTGCACTTGATCATTCAAACACGCGGTTTATGCAAGATAAGGTGGAGTACGTTCTGGTAATTTTGAAGTGCGATCGGGTAGGGTGAAGACCTCTCTCGTCTTCAGGAAGGACAGGCCCTCTCGCTCTTGTTTGGGTGGCCGAGGGGCTGTGTAGGTTTGGGTTGTCGAATACTGTAACCTCTTCTCCGATATTTCCACACCCTTTATCTTCACGACCTGGGGTACCTACCCTCGAAAAAACCGATTTCGAAGGTAGTTCGCAACGCTCGAAGAATTTTCAGGGTTAATGTAACACAATCTCAATGCGAGCTTAACGCAGGAACAATCTGGCGCTGGAATATCCCCCGCTCACTCGAACTACAAAGTTTGAGTTTTGAAAGGCCTTGACCTGGTGGTTATTTCCTGATAGACCCGCAATGTCAGGGCGTCCGTCTCATCAAACCTTCAACCATGTAAGGTGTCTGGGAAGAATCAAAGTTCAGGGTGTGGAAATATCGAACAGGTTGTAGTATCGATGTCAATTTCCTCTGATCTGAACAGAACAAACGGGCGCTTTTGACTTCTGGAAGTTTCATTTCAACATTTGCTGCTACTGTAGCCCAGCTTCTTGTGCGACGGATTCATTTGAATCGTCGTCGCTATTGCCAGCATGCCGGAGGCAGGGCAGTGTGGTGTGGAGCAGTGTACACTGGCTGTGTGACACTCCACTGTGCTATGCGTGGAAAACCGCTTGGCACTGTTTGGTGGATGGAGAACCGAACGACTCGGCTCGGCACGTGAGAGTACGACTTGGCTTGGTGCCGGTGCTGTTAATGGAAAACCAGATATGACTTATAAGTGGTCTAAGACTACTTCCAGTGCTTCTTTTTGTGTTTATATCCTCATGTATGCTGCTTCGTCATGTACCTTATCTGGTCAACAGAGTATTGTACAAGCATCCACTGAAAATATACTCGCATAGACGTATTGAATTGATTTGTATTTATTCGAGTGTATAAAATTCAAATGGTAGTGCTTTGGGTATATTACAATGCCATCGGGTAACAGCGAATTTACTATTACCCCCTTAGTGCATGTTTCCTTCGAAATGACAACGAATTTATTATAAATTATGCCGTTTTTCTTTTTATTGCATTAGCAGGGCGTGAGACGTATACGGTTATCGAAGAATTGAGTCAGTCTCATCAGGTACGGGTCGCGTTTGTCAGTACTGTGTAACCAGCTCGTAACTGGCATAGACACAAAGGAGTATACGAGCTACCTGCGACTCCAGATTTACCTGTGAATTTGGCTGGTTATCCATCTGCAGGACCCCACTCGCCCCACCTGGCCTCAACAAATCCCCACAAGTTCCATCGCTCACCAGGAAAATCGTTTCGCCACTTCGAATACTGCTGCCTGTCACAACCCTGTATGGTGTTGGCCTATCACACCGAGGCTTCTGAGCATCACCTGCCATTTGTTTCGAGACGTCACGACGCGGACCACATTCATGTTCGCGCCGAAAGAACCACACACACAGCAGATGTCTGAGTGTAACGGGGCAGTTTCTATGTAAATCAAGAATTTTGCTCTTCCTGCCCAGTCACCACAATACGCCCTACCTGACCTGGGTGGTCCCCACTCAGTGGAGTCGAAACAGACGTTTATCACACTCACCAAAACACGTCTTTTCCAAACCGTGGTCCGTGTGTGGGATTAGGAGTCACACACTTTCTATGGGCTCGCTTCCACTACACTTTGGGGTGTGACTTCGGGAAATAAACACCACACACAATCTTGGGAAGCCTAAAGTGCAGCGCGCTGTACATGCTTCCCTGATATGAACCCTGGTCGTTGTTTGGCTCAACCTTCTCCATCAGCCTCCAGCCACCCACCCACCTGCACGACCAAACACCATTCCCTCCTCTCACCCAGCTCGTCATCATTGTCAAGCCTCCCTAACCCAGTTCAGTCACGCCAAGAGATCAGACTGAACGAGAGCCAAGTAACAAGTAGCAAGCTGCGTAGAACCAGCAACTAGAGTAACTAGAACCATCTGCGCGCGTGTTAGAAGACTTAGTCAAGGCAAAATGGCTCGTCGACGACCTGTGATTCTCCTCGCACTGGTGGCTCTGGTCATCACTTTCACCCTCCTCGGACAAGCCGAATCGGGATCGTTGCTAGGTAATGAACGAGCGACGTGTGGTTGTGGTGCCCCAGAGCCTCAAAACTCGGTCGTTTTATCGATACATCTGGCTGGCAAGAGCGTTCGAACATTTGTACCGCGCTGAGAAATTCCACACGCCATTGGTCCTGTGCTCTCTACGCTATGGCTCTAGAGTGCACGCATGACCTATCATTTCCCACGCTGTGTCTATAATTATCCCATCCGTGGGTCATTGCTCTCTTAGCTCCAGCATCTCCGCTCGTCACGCATCTTTTGTTCGTCCTGAACTCTTTACTTAAATTTCCTATACACACATCTCTCGCCTTTACGTTGATGCCTTTGGCCCATCTGTCAATATCCAACTCATTTACCCCTTCTCTCGCATTCCTCGTGGGGATTTTGCGTGTGTTCCCCCGCGTGTTCCCCGCGTGCTTTCCCGTGTTTCCTCCGCGTGTTCCCCGCGCCCCTTTCCCCCCTCATTTTGCAGTGAAAGGCAAGAAGGGCGGCAAAAAGGGCGGCAAGAAGGGCGGAAATGTGGAAACGGAGAGCGTGTCCCCGAAGGTGTCTACCAGCGGCGTAGCTTCCACCTCCGGTACCTCCAGCACAGCTCCCGGCGTTCGCGTGCGCATCACCATCGGCGGAAGCAACGGCGGCGGGAGCGGCAGCGGCAGTGGCAGTGGCGGCGGAGGCGGCAGGGGCGGCGGCGTGCGGTCGCGGTCTACGGGTTCGGGGAGGAATGGAGGGTTCATGCGGACGTATACCGGCAGGAGTGAGTCAACCTGCCTCCTCGCTCTGGCTCTTGCCTGCTCGCTTGCTTGTTTCCTTCTAACTTTTTTTCTGCGAACTTGCTGCTGTAACCTCCGATTCGGCTCAAAAGTCATGTTTTCCTTTTTGCTCCCCGTTCTCCCATGCATCCCCGTTCCCTCTTCCCCGTTGTAGTCCCTAGCTATGCCGCCAAGTCCGTTTCGTACAAGAGCGGCCCTGTGATGTCGCAACCGCTCGAGGTGTACCTCATCTGGCACGGCACGTGGCCGGCGTCGCAGAAGACGCCCGTGCAGAAGTTTGTCGACTCCATTTCCGACGACACGCTGGCTAACAAGCCCGGCAGCGTCAGGGATTGGTGGAACGTCAACCGCCTCTACAAGGCCGGCGCCACCTACGTCACGCCCACCGTCTCCCGCAGTGTATGTCGCCTATTAGGGGTTTCCGCAATTTGATTCCTCACGTTTTCATGTTCTAACTTCAGACAACTGTTTTTGCCGACATGTATTTTTACATTACCAGATTCTCATATTTTGTAACATCTTGTTGTAAACAGAACACGGAGATCGATATCGCAGCCGCTTCGTCAGCCTCGGGTCAGAAACCACTCAAGAAGGCCGAGCTGTTGGCTCTTATCAACTTCCAGATTCTGTCGGGATCGCTGCCGCGAATCAGCAGCGCCGTCTACGTCATTCTTACTTCAGCTGAGGTGGATGTCGACGGATTTGGCAGCGACTTCTGTGCATTCCACGATTACAGCGGGAGCATCAAGTGGATGTGGGTTGGCATGCCTGAGAGGGTGAGTGAACATAACTTTCTAGCTGAAAAAAACCGTTTTACAATTCTTGATAGCCTTCCAATCATAAGATACTGGCTTTACGTGTCGCTCCGTATTAATAAATTTTCCCTTGCTGTAATTTTTTCCCTCGCCTTCTTCCAGTACCTGTCGAGGTGTGCGCATGCAGCGGCAGCAGGCCTCGAGTACCCCAACGGCGACAGAGTTCTCGACGGGCTGATTTCCAACTTTGCCCACGTGCTTTCCGAGACGGTGGTTAACCCTAACCTCAACAGCTGGTCCGACGAAAACGGAAACGAAAACATGGATCTGTGCCAGGACATCTGGGGCACCGAATACCTCACTGACGACAGCCCCGCTGTACAGTACAACGCTGTGGGTGTAGACGACTACAAATTCTTCCTCCCTACGAATCTCAACCCCAGCACCGGTTTCTGCATGAATGGGCTGTCCGTGCTCCCTGGTGTGTGCGGGAAGGAGCTCTTCAACTACCCGTGCGACGCTGGTGGCCTGTAGGTGGACTGCGTCTAACGTTTCATCGGAACAGACGACCATATGTACTGTATCAGCTTGGATGGGAGGGATGGGCATCGTGGGCACCAAGGCTGGTGTCATTAATGGTGATAGTGGGCTCCCTAGAATCTCCTATGTTCCTGTTTCGTTTAATTATGTAATGTATGATACCGCTGGGTGCGAATGATCTGCATGACAATTGTTTTGTTCTTGCCTTCAACCCTTGACTATGCTTGTTATCATTTTTATCAATAAGGGTTTGGTGACTGTATTCCTCTGCTCTCCACTGGTTGATCCTGAATATTGGTGAGTAGTTTACTAGGACTTGTCCAGTTCTATTGTGCAATTGTCTGTGCGACATACAAAGGCAATCTACGCGCACAACTATGTGCCATTCTTATTTAGAGAACAGACGACGTAGCACCTCACTTCATGGATCAGCATGTACGCACCTAAAAAGTCACCCTCTACACTCACTGAAAGCTTTCTAACATCATCATCGAGTATTAACCATGACAGTTCACTAAAACCTGTGGAACACGAAACCGTCACTACAAAAACTGAGAACTACCCTAGCACCCTCACTGCGAGAATCTCCAAAGCGCCCCCTGGAAAATCCCATCCTGGCCCTGGATTTCTCCCTGCTGCACCAGACCCTCCTGGCTCTCCTCCCTTCCCTTCTTGAAAAACCGTTGCTAATCTCATTTGAAAAACTGTGAGAATTTCCCAAGGGCCCCTTGGAATATTCCAATCTGACCCTGGTTTTCACCCTGCTGCACCAAACCCTCCTCCTGGCTCTCTCCCCTTCCTTCTTGCCCACCCTTAACACACTCAAACCGCTGCTAACCTCACTTGAAAAACTGTGAGAATTTCCCAAGGGCACCTTGGAATATCCCACTCTGGCCCTGATTTTCTCCCTGCTGCAGCAATTCAGCCTGACCCTCCCACCTTGCCTTCTCCCCCAACGCAGCAGAGGCAGTGGTACTAGTGGTTGCAGAGGGGTCCTTTGGAATTTCGTTGCTTCCTCCCCATTTGCCCGGCTGCCCAACTGTGTGAGAGCGTGTAACACTAGCCAGGGAAACCTGGTTACCAGCAGCAGCAGCAGCGGCGGCAGCAGCAGGACCAGTTTCAGCAAAGGGAGCCATGACCGTGTTACCAGAGACAGTGTAACCAGCGATTCTGTACTCGATAGGAGCAGCTCCGATAACAGGAGCAGCAGCAGCGCGGAGTTCTGGCGATGGATTGTCGGAGGAATGTGAGCGAGCGACAGAGGGGCGAAGCGGAGAGTGCGGTGGGCGAACCTTGAAACTCCCACCAGCCGCACCAGCAGTAGCAACACCAGCAGCAGCAGCAGCTGTAGCAGCGCCAGCAGCGGCGAAGAGCGGATCAAGCTTCAAGGTGGGAGGCGGGGAGGAGGCGAGGGGGGAAGGAGCGTTGAACGAGGGCGTGGCAAAGGAGGGGAGGTGGTGCAGGGGAGAATTGTCTGGCGTGCGCTGGGCTGCAGGATGGGGAGGGAGGGAGGGAGGGAGGGAGGGGTGGAACAGGATTGGGAAAATTGGGAAATGGATAGGAGCGGGTGGGAGTGGGGAAGGAGGGCAGGCGGGGCAGGGGGGAGTTGTCCGACGTGCAATGAGCTGCAGGGGTGAGGTGGGACGGAGGGGTGGAACAGGATTGGGAAATTTGGGAAATGGATAGGAGCAAGTGGGAGTGGGGAAGGAGGGCAGGCGGTGCAGGGGGGAGTTGTCCGACGTGCAATGAGCTGCAGGGGTGAGGTGAGACGGAGGGGTGGAACATGATTGGGAAATTTGGGAAGTGGATAGGAGCAAGTGGGAGTGGGGAAGGAGGGCAGGCGGTGCAGGGGGAGTTGTCCGGCGTGCGGTGAGCTGCAGGACGGGGAGGTCTTGACTGGGTCAGGCGCCTCTGTAACACGGGGTGTCTTTTGAGAAAAATCACCTCCTTTTGAGTCGACTTAAAAGGTCTTGACAGCGTCATCAGGAGCAGCAGTGGCACAACTGTAACACGGGAGCCCTGAGCCCTTCACAGTAGAATATCTGTGCCTTGTAGCATCGGCCGGCTTTAACCGTATCATGCAGCAGCAGCAGCACCTCTGGATCATTCTCATGCAGCCGATAACATACCTCTGAACCCCATAACCCCTTATCACTCACGGTAGAATATCTGAGCCTTGTAGCGCCGACCCGCCTTGACCGTGTCGTGCGGCAGCAGCAGCACCTCTGGATCGTTCTCATGCAGCCGCAGGGATCTCTTGGTGACACTGTTGCTGCTGCTGTTGCTGTTGCTGTTGCTGTTGCTGTTGCTATTGCTTTGAGATTTGCTGCCATCAGCAGAAGCACCAGTGGTCGCACCGGCATCACTGAGAGCACCAGCAGACGCAGCAGTTGACGCAGCACCACCACCGGCAGCACTGGCAGCACCACCAGCACCATCACCACCATCGGCAGCACCACCACCCTCTGTGCTATTGCCGCCCGCAGCAGGGAGCAGGACGAGCTTTGCCAGCCGGCCGCAGTGGTCCGACAGCTTGCGATGCACCTCCCTGAGAGTCAACCCTGCCTCCACGTCCCGCGTGCTGCCGTCTGGGAGCTCTATGGTGGCGGTTGAGAGCGGTGGAGTGGGGTCTTGAGACAGAGCCGCTGTGCCTTGAGGCACCCCTGCCAGCATCGAGGCTAGCGGTCCTGCAAAGAAGAAAGGGCAAGGGACGGGAGAGAAAGGGAAGGGCGGGGGGATATGGAAGGTCTGGCAGCTTGCGGTGCAGCGCGAGTCACCCCTGCGAGCATCGAGGCAAGCGGCCCTGGAGAAGGGGCAATGGAGGGGAAGGAGGGGCGAGAAAGAGACAGAAGGGGGATATGGAGCGAGACACAACTTGCTGCCGCAGTGGTCCGACAGCTTGCGATGCACCTCCCTGAGAGTCAACCCGCCTCCACGTCTCTTGTGCTGCCGTCTGGAAGCTCCATGGTGGCTGCAGTGGGTGCTGCTGCTGTGTCTTGTAGCCAACCTAAGGCTGTGCAGCAATTGCGAAGAAAAGCTTGCGAAATAAAGCCAACAGCGAGTGAGCTTGTGAAGGGGTCGTTCCTGCCAGCATCGAGGCAAGCGGTCCTGGAGAGGGGGCAAGGGAGGGGAAAGAGCAGCAATGGCAGAGTGGGGATATTGAATGTGAGACAGCATGCGGCAGCAGTGGTCTGACAGCTAGGGGTCCGGCATACAGGGGCAAGGGAGGGGAAAGAGGGGAAAGCGGAGGCAGAGGCTGATATGGAAGGTGAGGCAGCACTCACCTCTCACCGGCTCGGCGCGGTAACAAGCCCCTGCCTGTAACACGTCCTGATGGAGAAAGAGGAGCACATCGGCATCATCAGCAGTAACACTAGGAGCAGCAGTGCTGGCACCAACATGGTCCTAGTGCTGGCACCAACATGGTCCTAGTGCTGGCACCAACATGGTCCTAGTGCTGGCACCAACATGGTCCTAGTGCTGGCACCAACATGGTCCTAGTGCTGGCAACAACATGGTCCTAGTGCTGGCACCAACATGGTCCTAGTGCTGGCACCAACATGGTCCTAGTGCTGGCACCAACATGGTCCTAGTGCTGGCACCAACATGGTCCTAGTGCTGGCACCAACATGGTCCCCACACCCCTCTCACAGGCACTCACCTCTAACTGGCTCTGCGCGGTAACAAGCACCCGCCTGCAGCACATCCTGCGGGCAAAACAGCACATCAGCGGTGCATGCCTGCCGTGCTCTCACAAGCACTCACCTCTCACTGGCTCGGCGCGGTAACAGGCACCCGCCTGCAGCACGTCCTGCGGGCGAAAGAGCACATCAGCATCATCGGCAGCACCGGGAGCAGCAGCGCTGACGGTATCACCACCATGGGTCCTACTGGCACTGGCACTCACCTCTCACTGGCACTGGCACTCACCTCTCACTGGCACTGGCACTCACCTCTCACTGGCTCGGCGCGGTAACAATAACAAGCGCCCGCCTGTAACACGTCCTGAGGGCGAAACAGCACATCAGCATCATCGGCAGTCTCGGGAGCAGCAGCGCTGACACCACAATCAAGGGTCACACGCACCTCTCTCACTGGCTCGGCACGGTAGCAAGCACCAGCTTGCAACACGTCTTGCGGGCGAAACAGCACATCGGCATCATCGGCAGCACCAGGATTAGCAGCGCTGGCACCACCACCAGCACAAGTCGCTGAACACTCACCATTACACAGCGGAACACGCACCTCTCACTGGCTCGGCGCGGTAGCATGCCCCTGCCTGAAACACGTCTTTGAGACGTCTCAAAAACAACCTCGCTACATGCGGTAGCATGCCCCTGCCTGAAACACGTCTTGCGGGCGAAACAGCACATTGGCATCATCGGCAGCACCGGGATAAGCAGCGCTGGCACCACAACCAAGAGTCACACCTCTCTCACAGACACTCACCTCTCACTGGCTCGGCACGCTAGCAAGAGCCCGCCTGTAACACGTACTGGCACCACCACCACCGCCACCAACACCACCACGGGTCACCTCTCTCACAGACATTCACCTCTGACTGGCTCGGCACGGTAACAAGCACCAGCTTGCAACACATCTTGCGGGCGAAACAGCACATCGGCATCATCAGCAGTAACACTAGGAGCAGCAATGCTGGCACCAACATGGTCCCCACACCCCTCTCACAGGCACTCACCTCTAACCGGCTCAGCGCGGTAACAAGCCCCTGCCTGTAACACGTCCTGAGGGCGAAACAGCACATCAGCATCATCCGCAGCACCGGGATTAGCAGCCGCGCTGGCACCACCACCACCACCACCACCACGAGTAGCAGCGGCAGCAGCAGCGGTGCTTGTGTGAGCATGATTGCTCGTGTGAGGGTGAGTGACGAGGAAGTAGCGGCGGCCGTCGCAGAGAGAGGGGTGCCGCCGCCACAGCTGCTGCAGCGTGGTGCCTCCTGGGACCTCTTCGGTACGGCCGTCACATGCTATGCGAGCAAACCTGGGGAGCAGGAGAAGAGGGAGGGAAGGAGGCACAAGCATATTAGTGCTGGTTGCAGGGTGGGGTGTTGCCGCCACAGCTGCTGCAGCGTGGTGCCTCCTGGGACCTCTTCGGTACGGCCATCACTTGCTATGCGAGCAAACCTGGGGAGCAGGAGAAGAGGGAGGGAAGGAGGCACAAGCATATTAGTGCTGGTTGCAGGGTGGGGTGCCGCCGCCACAGCTGCTGCAGCGTGGTGCCTCCTGGGACCTCCTCCACGCGGCCATCACACACTATTCCAGCAAACCTGGGGAGCAGGAGAGAAGGAGGGACGAGAGAGGGAGGGAACGAGGATCATGAGTGTGAGTGATTTCAAAACACAGTGCACCACTGCTCATCTTCCCCATCTCACCACCCATGCTCCCTCACCCATGCTCCCTCACCCATGGTCCCTCATCCATGGTCCCTCCCTCACCCAACTCACAAGAGCAATGCGAATGTGAGGCGAGAAGACAGCGACTTCTGCTCCGCACCTTTCCCCTCATCGCTCCCTCCTCTCACCAATCCAACCCCCCACCCCACATCACTGCCACTCTCTCTCCGCCCATGGTCCTCCATCCAACTCACGCGAGCAATGCAAACGCGAGGTGAGAAGACAGCGAGTGCTGCTCCGCGCTCTCAACCCCCTCATCTTTCCCCACTCCTCATCACCCCCTCCCTCTCAACCCCTCACTCTCACCCCTGATTAGATCACCCCCTCCCAACTCACGAGAGCGATGCGAATGCGAGGTGAGAAGACAGAGAGAGCTGCTCCGCGCCCTCCCCCTCATCTCCCCCTCCTCCCGTCCTCTTGCCCCTCCCTGCCCCTCCTCCTCCTGCTCCTGTTCCCGAGTGCTCTGGCCCTGCAAAAGGGGTTGAAACATGGGAAGCAAAGAAAGGGATTTTCGTGTCAACTCAACAGCCCCGCTCTCAGTGTGTCCCCCCCCCCTAAACAGCCCTGCCCCTTAGGACGCGTCACAATTGCAATACCGATCCTGTGAGGGATCGGTGAGCACAATCTACAGTGTCATCGCCAATTCGTAGAAGCTGTGTATCCCTTTTTCGTCTACATTCGTTGAACGCCGCCGATGTTGCCGCCACAATCGTGCACTTTCCGATTGCCGAGATCGGATGGCTTGAAATGCCACATCGATCGTGCGATTGGCAGAGTGGGAATCGAAATTGCGCCACCAGTGATAGGCACAATCGATCGCCGTCGCAAACAGTCGGCCAGCGTCGATGCGGTTACAGGGCGAGAGATTGTGCGCGTCGTCACAAGCATGGCGAAATTGTGTGACTCGCCAGCAAAGCAATGCGCCGCCCTGGCATCTGGGTGTACAGTTGGCACGGATGGAGGTCCCCCACATGCAATTCCGGTCGTGTCCCAAGAGGCTCGGGGAAAGCAGCCGACACTGCTCACGCAGATTGAAACTGGCTGTTTCAAGAGCGATGCTGCCATTTTCAGTGTTTGATCCCGATCCTCCCCGGTGTTGCAATTGTGACGCGTCCTTAGGTTCCCATCTGAGACACACTCCGACTTACTCCCTCCCCGCCGAACCACTCACCCAGCCAGTAGTGCGCCTGCCCATCTCTGCCCCGCTCTCCGCCTGTCTCCCCCTCCAAACAGCACCTCCACCTCCCCCCCGCCCAGCCTCAACACACACCACTACACACCCACACCTATTCCGTTACCGCCCCACCACCACTCACCCAGCCAGCAGGGCGCCTGCCCATCTCTGTCCTGCTCTCCGCCTGTCTCCTCCCATCAGCCCACTGCCACATCCCATCTAACCGCTTATTCCCCCTTACCGCACCACCACGCACCCAACCAGCAGTGCGCGCAGTACCTCAGCCCCGCTCTCAGCCTATGTCCCCCATCAACCCACTCGCACTCACCCACAGCCCCACACATCATCGTATTCCCCTCTCCCCGCCCGACCACTCACCCACCCAGCCGGCAGTGTGCGCGGTATCTCAGCCCCGCCCTCAGCCTCTCCCCCCCATCAGCCCACTGCCACATCCGCATTTATCTGCTTATTCCCCCTTACAGCACCACCACTCACCCAGCCAGCAGTGCGCGCGGTACCTCAGACCCGCCCTCAGTCTGTCTCCCCCCCGAAACAGCACCTCAACCTTAGCACTCGCGCGCTCCACCCCACCCGCTCCGCCTCCGCGGGCCCCCGCGCCCCCCTTGCCCCCCCCCGTCTCCCCCCGAAGCCGCGTGGTCAGGAAATACCGCCGCCCCGAGCCTAGCAGGTCCGGCCGAGCCTCCCAGATCTCCGCCAGGGTAGCATTGGGCCGAGCCAAGACCCCGAGCGTCCCCGGCACGTGGATATGCACGTGCCTGCAGGAAGGGAAGGGGAGGGGGGAGAATGGGGGGGAGGCGAGTCAGGGGAAGGAGAAAGAAAAAGTGAGACCTAGTACTCGTTTCGACCAGCCTATTAACTACTACCTTTCCCGAAGCGCCTTACTCTTCCCCCTTGAGGTCCGGCCGGCCCATCCAATCGCTCGACACAGCGCGAACCACGCCGTCCGTCGCGCCGCCAATCGCGGCGAGCTTCCCGCCGCCGCTTGCGCCGCCATCGGACCGCTCAGTGCCGACAATTGCGCCGGGTTTCCCGGCAGGTGACGGATTCTGGGGCTCGCGGTCCGGTGCCGGCTGAACCTGCGCTTTCCGCCTGAAGAAGTTCATAGCTTAGGACGGAGACTAATTTAGGAACAAGGCTGGGTTAGGAAGAGGACTTCCAATGTCCGAGTAGTAGCTTTTGAGTGTCCTGAAAAATCTCCTAAGTTCGTCGCTTAGTAAGAAGACCTTCAATCATAGTAGGTAGGCCCGCGGAATGAATCGCATTCCGAAGCGCGTTCTGGGTGGACCGAAGCAAGCTTGCTCATTACGAAGAGATTTCGAAACCGCAATCGTGTAAACCGCAATCAACTCTGACCTTACTGCTGCGTGGCAATCTGTAGCGTCACTATGAAATCCACGTTATACGAATACTCAATGGTCTTGTGCATCGAGTAGCCTAGTAGGTAAGTGCACGTCCAATGTCGAGACCTGCTTTTGGTAGCCTCGCAAATGTCATATAAGGAATTTCTGACTTGTAGTTAGGAGATGGACTCATGGCTATGCTGTTGATTATATGCTGATGATTTGAGTCTGTCTGACACAAAGTACCAGACTGACATTTCCCGCCAGTTCCCCGAACACGCGCCGATGCTAGGTCGTTTAGCGGTTACGCAATAGGGGTGACGCTATGAAGGAGTACTGGTGTAGAACAAGATGTTTCGAATTTCATTACACATCAAACCTCATAGAATATATCAGTATTTGTTTTCAAGGTTCTAAACTTCTTTCTGTCACAGCGTAGGATGGCAGCGTGGCTGGGTTTGTCGTCCACCTGCGCTATGATATACTGTACTAACGTGCCTCAAAACGGTCAATGTGGAAAGGAAAGACACTTCTGCCAAGTAACGTGCGCTTACCGACGTCGTCGGCGTGACGAAGTCCTGCGGATGTGTGCACCAGACAACCAAGCTCATTGCTGCAGCCGTTTCGTTATACTCCGCTGTGAGTGTTCTCGTCCGCCACAAGTTTTTGTGATTTTGTTTCTACACCCATTTTGTGTACACCTCCACCATTTGGTGTTCCTCCTCGAGGCCGCAGCACACTTTCCAACTTCCGGAAATTGCAATATCGGGCAGTCTGCGAGTCAAATTTGTGCTTGACTTTCCCAGCCACATTTCAAGCACAGGCTGTCGTTTGTGTTTTTCTGGGGAAAATGCTGCTGATGACGAGACGATGACCTCCACCTTGGCACTGGCACGTCTCTTGGCTCGGCTCGGGCAGGTGTACAGTACAGCCTTTCTCCCCTTGGAACTGTGTGTACGGAATTGATAAAGACAGCCGAATATGAACTGTATGTTTTTAGGTGGAAGAAGAATACAATACACACAATACAGTAATACACTGTGATGCAGCACTCATCTGTGATGTGTAGTCGGGCATTCGACAACTTACATCGTGCATTTGTCTTGTCGAAGTCATGGAATCCACAATGCCAGCCTGGTGGTGTCGAGACAAGAAACCGTGCGCGCGATGCGATGCAACGGGGTCATCGACACAGTTCCATCCAGAAGTCTCCTCTCCTCTCTTCCTCCCCACAGTTGACATATCGGGCGGATTCAGCTTTCCTTTGCTCCGATATTCCAAGGTCTCATTTCCAGAAAACTGTTCAGTTTCGTCTGTTTTCTGCACAACCGCAAATTGGCGCTGCCAGTCAATGGTGAAATGCGGAGACGAAGCACGCCTCGGCTCGACGGGATTCAAGTGTGTGTTTCTCAACCTCCCGCGTCACGTCCGTCAGGTCTGGTGTCAGCGGAACGCGCAAATCGCGGCTGGAATGACATGACGCCCTGCGCCCAATCCCCATCTTCCCCCACCGCCACTTTCTGTTGAACCGTCCACTGGCGGGCGTGGCGAGCTCGCGAATTATCAAATGCCCGTTTCGATTTCTCACTGTGCCTTCCCCCCCTTGCGGCAGTCGTCGTTTTCCTCTCGTTTTGGCACCTGCAGCACCCTCTTTTGCCATCCACGCTTTCGCCGTTTCCGCCTTCCCATCTTTCTGTAACAGAATACAGTGTTGGCAGACGAGCACAGTCGACGAAAAAAGCAGCGCTGTACGTTTCATCGCCGATGCTTGTAAGGTTACAATTTGTGACACACCGACCCATTCTCGTTTTGGCTGGCTAACTCCGATTGGCTGCGACGTTTTCATCGGCCTTCCCTTCTCTCCGCTCAGCACCGCAGTTTCCCGCCGACCGCAGCAGCTGCACCTCTCGTGGCCTGTACAGCACGTTACGTTCGTTGGCTGCAGCACTGCGGGGACCTTTGCATCAACGTGCCCACCACCTCCCGTCAGTTTAGGAATCTAGTGTTGACAAAACGAACAAGGCCCTTTGTGCTGATACACATACAGTACACAGGTCCCTCACTCACAGAGAGTCCCTTCTGAGTTCAAGAGTTGATTTGGATCCCGATTCCTCCTACGCATCCAGAATCCAAATTTCTCCTCCTAGTTCACATATACAATTGATGCCCAACCAGTGCACGCGGATTTGCCTTGCGCCGGATGGAAACGCTGCACCCGAGGTTGTTTCCCCAGCCTGTTGCTCCCACGTTATAAGCGCGTCGCGTGGTTATCAACCAATAGTAGCGAACAGACCGAGGTCAAGCAGAAGAGACTGAAGTCAAATAAGGTAACAGATCTTGTTTATAAGCACCTACGAATCCTTTTTAGCTAGCTGCGAATTGACGAAACTTATGCGAAACGCTCGTTACAGCTTATACGCCCCCTTCACAAGGCAACCGGGAGGGGCTCAAACAGGCATCAATTGTAGCTGTAACTGCGTGCAGACCAGTGCGGCTCCGTCGTTGTCGTCATCCTTGTTTGTGCATGCATTGGCGCCGTATCCCACCTATCTGCACCGTAGTCCAAATTTTGCCACCGCATTATACCCCACCTCACTCACTCAGCGTCTCACTAACTTTTCAGCCTTGCATTGGTCACCCATCACCACCGACAGCCCCTTGCAGTTTTCTTCTCGTAACTGTTGCAACGACCTTCCGACGGGACGGACAGGACGTCCCGAAAGTTGCTCTCAGAAACTCTCAGCAGCAGCCTTGGTGCAACTTTCAGGGCAGGCTTCGCGCATTATTGTAACGAAAATCCTTCTTGGGTCCCCGGCCACTCCCCGGCCCCGCCCCGTCCGATCTCCGGGAGTCCCGTCTCGTCCCATCTCCGATCTGCAGCCTAGAAGAATGCCTGGAAGGCACCCCGCAGATCCGCTACCACCTCCAGCTTCGTGTACTAAAGGCGCGAGAGGCACCAGACTTATTCATTCCAATGCTCTGAGACTCGAACTTGCGCCTTTATTCTTTCTTCCTTCTCGGATCGATTTGAAGCTCCCGTCTCTCAGAGGGAATCGTTAGTGTCCCGTGTTCCCTCGGCATCCTAAATAGCTTAGTCAAAGCGACTCGACTAGCTGAGAAACTTTTCCAGCCCTGCGACATCATAATCCGGATCTTGGGAGTAAGCGGTATCCGACTCCCCAATCTGCTCTCTCCTGTTCCAGCGCGAAACTCGGAAACATCTTAGTAACACTCAAGGATATTCGTTTTGAACGCCTATTGAGTTATTCCAGCATGGCTTTGGCTGCTCGATCACCCTCTGACGGCCTGCTAGCCGGCAAATCTGCCGGCCGGCGCGCTCTGCCGGTGCTCCGTCAGGCCCCCGTTTCGCTCCTCTGCGCCGTCGACTCCGCCGCGTCCAAGCGAGTGGGCTTCCACGAAGCTTCTAACTCCGCGGTTTTCAAGGCCAAAACGAGCCTATCAGCGGCGGACTTGCTAATGCTTCTCAGCCCCACGGTAGCAAGCTCCGCGAATATCGGCGCGATCAACGGCGGACCGTACGCGTGCCGCGAGTGCTCCAACAAGTTCCCGTCGCTACACTCTCTTGACTTCCACTACCAGACGTACCACAGTAAGGACAAGAAAAGCCGCCTGCCGGTTGGCCACCCGGTGGGCGGCAGCAACGACAGCGAGGAACCTGCCGGAAGCGGCTCCGCCGCGCCGAGAAAAAGCGGCACGCCGCCGCCCCCGCGGGTTGCGGGCCGTCGGGCGCACGTCGCGGCGTCGCAAGAAACTCTGGGGGAATCTGGAAGCGCCGCCAGCGCTGCGGCGGCGTCGCAGAGCCAGGGACGATCGCCATCGTTGTCGCCGTCGCCGTCCGCGACGACGATTCCGTCGTCTGGCGCCGGCGAAGATGTCGCCGCCGCAGGTGCGATGGCTGCGGCGACGGGTGCTGCGAAGACATTGTCGCAGCAGCGGCGTGGCGCGAAACGAAACCGCGCCGACAGCCAGCCTGGCGGGGCGAACCCGTCGGCACCTGCCACGAAACGGGGCGGCAGGCGCTGCGGCGGTGCTGCTTCTGAGAAGTTTCCTGGGCGCGTGATGGAGCTCGGCGGCTGCGCCGCAGGGGCTCAGATCGCGACAATGGATGCCGGCCGAGCAGAGTCAATTAAAGTGGAGTCGCAGCGACTCGGACGCCCCGTAATCGCGGGGAAGAAGTGGCAACCGCCGAGTGTTCTTGTAACGAGCGGTGCTGATAAGTCTGTGGGTGACGTCGGTCGCGACGGAGGCGCGCTCACTCCGTCGGACACGTCAGCTTTGCAGCCACGTCGGATCGGCGCGCTCGCAGGGTCCTGCCTGACCCTGACGGATCGAATGAACTCGCTGACGTCATCACTGACGGACCTGACGGCCGCCGGAAGCAATCCCGTCAGCCCAACGACCCCTACCACCGTGCCGTTGTTCGGGGGAGCTTCTGGCGGCGCCGCGAATGGCGGCGGAGTTGGCGCCGTGCATGGCGGCGGTTTCAATGGGAAGGCTGCAGCGCAGGCGTCTCAGCTGCAGCAGCTGATGGCTCTGGTGATGCAGGAGCAGGAGAAGCGGGGGAGACTTGTGCGGAAAACGGAGCACACTGTAACGGAGCAGAGAGTTGAGCGGCCTGAGCCTCACTGCCTGCAGCCCCAACGGTCGGTGGCCACATCAGATGCTAAGGGGATTACCTCTTTAAATGCATTATGGTCTATGCAGCCTCCGAACCCAACCAGCAGCTGTCAAGCACAAAGGCCCTCACCTGCGAATCCTTCACTCGCCACAGTTCGTCAGGTGATAACCAATGCTACTTCTGGCGCGCCTGGTGCCGGTTCCCCGTCGTTTCCTGCTCTGGCTCGTGCTGACGGGAGGCAGGGACCTGGTGACGTGGCAGGAAGCCAGCTCAGCATGCTGGTGGCTGTGCTGGCATCGAGCCTTGGTCAGCAGAAGGCACCAGTAGCAGCAGGAGAGGGAGCAGTAATGATGCAGGAGTGCAGGGAGATGGAGCTATTGAATTGTGTCAAGGGGCAAGGAATTGCAGGGCCTGCTGCTATGGTGCAATGCAGGGAGGTGGACTTAAGTCTTAGACTGTAAGTCTTACTGATTTTAGTACGGTATGTCAGTGAGTGTGTGTACAGCTCTGGACAGTTGTCCGTTCAATACTTGTAATAGAACCCCTAACTAACTCAGTACAGTTTTCCGTAAGGAGATGTGGTTTGAGAGCAAGAACTAGAGGTGTGCCTAATGAAGGCACACCAGGCATCATTGGGAGAGTAGTGTGGGCAGCCCCTCAGATTCCAGCATTTTTACCTGGGATGATTAGGGTGCAAACTTGGATTGGACCAGCTGAAAGCAAACATAGTGAATCAACACTTCAGATCAAGTGGTGTGCAATAAACATAGACGGTTGTTACGAGTGCAATTGAGTGAACGAACGAGAATTGCACTATCGAAGCAAGAGTACAATGAGCGAAGGCATGAGCGAAGAATATATAGCGAAACTACAGTGGTAACGGTAACGGACTGTGGTTGTCGCGCGACGGGCCTGGGACTGAGGTTGGGAAAAAGTGTCGAAGCGGAGGCCCGGAGCGCGGGTTACCCGCCGAGCCGTGAGGTCGGGGTGCGATGTGCGAAGGTGGCGGGCGGATTGTCGATGCGAGGGTTGCGAGTGGTAACGGTGCTGACTGTGGTGCTACAGTGATGTACGCGTTGAGCAGGGATGCGAAGTAAGGAAAAGGAATTTTCCTTACACTACCCCCCCCCCCTAAGGAGGTCCTCCTTACGAAAGTGCGTGTACATCCCTGAAATTTCGGCTGCGCAGATACTCGGTGAGGACGGGGTGGTTTTCGATTCTGTCCAGGGGAACCCAATTGTCTTCGGTGGGTGTACGGTCCTTCCAGCGGAGTAAGAACTTGATCCTTCGGGCTCCTCGAGGGTCGCGAACTCTGTGACTCAGGATTTTCTCGGGGGTGATGATTGGTTCAGTTGGTGGTCTTGTCATGCTGGCTGGGCGATTGCGTGGCAGTTGGCTCGTGGACGGGACGTAAGGGCGAAGTAGGCTGACGTGGAATGAGGGGCTGACGTACCAGTCAGCAGGGAGGAGGAGGTGGGCGGTGACGGGTGTAAGCAATGCTTACCCCAAAATGTCAGGGTAAAATACACTGATCGCCCTGACTGGCGGCCGTTTTTTTTGGGGTTACCCTGACCCTGTCAGGCTCCTGGATTTCTTACCCTAACTCATAAAGAGTTTGATTTTTTGTACCCTTATGAAATCCGAGTTATAGATTGTTTCCCCTGACTTACATCAGTGTTTCAAACCTGTTACACTGATACCGAACCTTTCATAGCGAGGATACGGTGGATATTGCGCGAAGTAGCGCCAGCGAGTACTGTACTTCTATCGTTTCCCGATACGGGCATCGAACCCGCGACATTCCCATTCGCAGTATCACCTCTAACCAATTGCGACAATTCAACTTGGTATGTACCAGTTCGCTATTTATATAGCATATCACAAAAATTAGAGTACCTTTTTTTTTACCCTGTTTCCATCAGGGTACGAGATTTTTTACCCTAGGTGTCAGGGTTGGCCCACCCTGGAACTCTGATTTGACAGGGTGGGCCAAAACCAATTTTGGATGCTTACTAAGCATGTGGCTTATGCGAAATGGCCCGCAGTATCGGGGGCGGAGTTTCGGGGTGATGGGCAGTCGGAGGTTCTGAGTGTCAAGTAAAACTAAGTCGTCGGGCTGGTAAGTGACAGGTCTGCGGTGGCGGTCGGCGTTGCGTTTAGCGATGATGTTCGATTTTTTTATTGCGTCTACTGCCCGGGTCCGTGCTGCTTGTAATATTTCGGCGAACTGTTGTGCTCGTGGTACTGGGTTGTCGGGATTCGGGGTCATGGGTACCGTACTGTCGGGTCTTGTCCGTAGTTTAGGTAAAATGGTGACTGTTGGGTCGTGGCGGATGGCGAGTTGTTGTACGCGAATTCGATTAGTGGCAGTTGCTGTTCCCACGTGGTCGGGTCGTCACACGTGGCCCTGATGAGTTGTTCCATGGTCTGATTTGTCCGTTCTGTCTGTCCGTCGGTTTCGGGGTGGTATGATGAACTGAACTGCAGTCGCGTGCCGAACTGCTGCCACAGGTTCCGCCAGAAGTTGCTGGTGAATTTCGTGTCGCGGTCGCTGAAGATCGCGGCTGGTATCCCGTGTAGTCGAATGACGGTGGAGATGAAGAGGCGTGCTGTTTCTTCGGCTGTGATTGATTTTTTGCAGGCTGCGAAATGTGCCATTTTCGTTAGTCGATCGACGACGACCAGGATCGCGTCGTTCCCACTCGCCCCGGCTGGTAACCCCGTGACGAAGTCCATCGTCACCTGCTGCCAAGCACGCTCTGGGGGTGGTATCGGCTGCAACTGTCCCGCCGGCCGCTGTCGTGATGATTTCATGAGCTGACAAGTGGGACACGATGCCACGTGTCGTTGTACGTCGGTCAACATTTCGGGCCAGTAATAATACCGCTGCAGTTGCTGCCGTGTTTTTTCTACTCCGAAATGCCCCGAGGTAACTCCGTCGTGTGCATCCTGTAACAGTAATTCCCGTAGCAGTGTATACCCAGGCACCCAAATGCGGTCAGTCCCGGTTTTTACGTAATAGACTCCCTTTGCTGCTGCGAACTGCTGCGAATTTCCTCCTGTGAAGAATGGATCCGTTTGGTACCCGTGGGTGAATAGGCCTGTCAGTAGCGGGCTTGTCTGGGCGAGTAGTATTGCGTGGATCTGGGCAGTGGGGCGGGTCAGTGCGTCGGCGATGTTCGAGGCTCCCTTTTTGTAAGTGACCGTGTAGTGAAAGTTGGACTCGAGGAAATCGAGCCAGCGAATCTGTCGTGGGTTGAGGTGTGGCTGTGCGCGAAGGTACTGTAGTGATTTATGGTCTGTCCGTACTGTCACGTCCGCGCCAGTCAAGTAACAGCGCCATACTTTGAACGCGTGCACGATCGCAAGCATTTCGCGGTCGTGTATCGGGTAATTTTTCTCGGGCGGATGCAGTTTTCGTGACTCGTATGCGATAGGCTGTAGGCCATTGCCGAAATCCTGTAGCAGTACGCTCCGATGGCGATATCGCTTGCGTCGGTAACTACTTCGAATGGGCGGTGTGGGTCGGCGATGCGCAGGACGGGCGGTGAACAGAGAACATTTTTCAGGGCAGAGAAGGCAGCATGCTCTTTCTCCCCCCACGTAAAAGCGACCCCCTTCCGCAGTAAATCCGTCAGTGGGGCAGTTAACCGTGCCATATCGGGGACGAACCGACGCACATAATTAACGAACCCTAAAAAGCTCTGCAGCTCCGTGATGTTCGTCGGGGGATGCCACGCTTTTACCGTATCCAGCTTCTTTGGGTCGATTTCAACTCCAGCCTCCGAAATAACGTGCCCCAAAAATTCTAACCTATCCTGGAAGAACTCGCACTTGGAACCCTTGGTCAGTAATCTGTGCTCGTCTAAAACCTTAAACACTGCTTCCAGATCTGCTAAGTGCTGCTGCTTATCCCGACTGTACACTAGGATGTCGTCGAGGTAAACTATTACACATTTATCTAAGAGCGGCCTAAATGCCTCGTTCATGGTCATCTGAAAAGTCGCCGGTGCGTTGGTCAGCCCGAATGGCATCAGAGTGTACTCGAACGACCCGTACCTAGTCCTGAAAGCTGTTTTGGCGCAGTCCGATGGTTCGACCCTAATCTGATGGTAACCTCCCCGTAAATCTATTTTCGAAAAAACCCGTGTTGTTCGCAGTTGGTCGATCAGTTTGTCGGCGCGGGGAATGGGGTACCGCGACTTGACTGTTACCCTGTTCAGTGCTCTGTAGTCGATACACATGCGAAAACCCCCGTCTTTTTTCGGCGTGAATAGTATCGGTGCGGCGAACGGTGACGAGCTCGGTCTGATGAATTTTTTCTCTAACAGGTAATCTAACTGCTTCCTTAGTTCGTCGAGCTCGGGTTGTGTCAGTCTGAACTGGCGCTGTACGGTTGGCTGTGCCCCCGGTTCTAATTCGATTCGGTGGTCATGTGCTCGCTGAGGTGGCAGTCCTTCCGGTAAGTCGTCGGGGAAAATCCCGGGGTATCGTTTCAACAGTTCCTGTAATTCGGGCGGTACGGCTGCCAGCAGTTTCTTGAAATCACTCGGCTGCTCTGCTTCCTCTAGTACTGCGATGTCTACTGCGTACACGTCAGCTCCAGCAGCGACAGCCCGTTTCATTGTGATGGCGTTGACGTGTACCGTTGAAGACTCGGGCGACTACCAGCGAGGTAGCTCGACCCAGTTACCACTACTTCGCACGGTGCAGCTACCCGTCGTCCAGTCAATTCGCGGGTTATACCGTCGCAGCCAATCACGTCCCAGTAAAATATCGTGCCCATCCAGTGTCGTTGCGAGCATTTCCTGTGTAAACCCGAAATTTCCCCCGCAGCGGACTTTGACTCTCTCTACCTTTTCCCGTATGGCCAGTGGCGTGCCGTCGACTAAGCGTGCGTCTATCTCCGGTAAGCAACGGCTAAGTGTCAGCTGCAGTTTTCGTGCGGTTGCGGTATTAACTAAACTGTGGCTTGCTCCTCCGTCGATAAAAATCTTCACTGCTGCTCCCTGTATTTTCCCGTGGATCAGTACTGGGCAATCCGTCGCTGTACCCTCCTTATTCGTCCGAGTCCGATCGATAGCATGAATCGGTACTGTGACTCGGTGAGGGTCGGTGGGGTTGGGCGAGCAGGCAGTCTCGTCAGTAGTTGGCCCGATTCCTACTGACTGCTGGCGTTTCCCTGCTTTGGAGACTCCCTCCCCTGCTCTGCTCCGCGGCGCCTTAGCTCCTCTGGGCATTCGCTCTTGCGATGGCCCGGCCTGTTGCAAGCAAAGCAGCGCCCCTTAAACGGCGCGGTTGCTGCATTCGTCGCAACAGCGTGTACAGTGGCGTGCTCGATCGGTCCCCGAGGACGATGTCCATATTAGGACCCCGGTCTCGGACGGCGTAAAATGTCGATTTTCTCGGCGAGCGCGAGAATCTCGTTGAAGTTCGAGAGCCCGCGTAGCATGATTTCGTGCGAGATGTCCGGCTTCAGCCCTCCGACGTAACGGTTCACCCGCTCCGCTTCGTGCATGTAGCCGACTTGCTCGCATAATGCGAGAAAACCACTCGTATAGTCTTGAACCGATCCAAGCTGCCGCCAAGTGCGCAATCTCTGACGCGCCGAAATAGAAGCCGCGATCGGCTCGAAGCGCGCCCGAAGCCCTGCGCACCACGCATCCCACGTGCTGTATTGGGCGGTCTCGCAGAATGAACTCCAGGTGACAGCTGGGCCCGTGGGCCCTTCCTCTTGCGACGGTGGCTCGTAGGCGCGTGGCGACGTCACGATGACTCACCACCAGTCCATGGCGGGGCCCCTTAGCAGCGAAACGGCATACCGAATCTTCGCTGCGTCCGACTCGACGTAATTCGCGTCGAAGAAGACGTTCATCGTGAAGACCCACGATTGAACCGTCGGACCTCCACGCTGGCTCGGGTCGAAGCAGGGCGGGCGTTGCGGCTTGAGTGGCATTGGTGCCATAATGGCCTGTTCGCCACTTGTCGCCGCGAACTCCACGTGCCGACGGGCTTCGCGAGGCTCCCGCGGGCTTGGTGCGACCCTGTTTCCTCCCATGCCAGGCATCGGCTGGGCGGCGCCATCGCTGGCTGCGCCTGAGCGCTGTCCCACGCTGTTGTTTTGTGTTGGTGTGCCGGACGAGATGACGATCGGCTCGTCTGATTGTGCAGATGCATTTGTCGGTGCGTGTGGTGGCGCTGGAGTGTTCATCGTTGATTGCTGACGCGCGGAGTCACGTTCCGCCGTGAGCGTCGCAATTTCGAGCGCCGAATCTTCAAGTTGGCGCACCAGACGGTCGAGCTGCTCCTGCGTCAATGTGGCGAGTGTGAATTCGGCCATGGCGGGGGTGTCAGGCGAGCTCAGCGAGAGCCTCGGTCGTGGCCGTGCGTGCTTACGAGAGAGCACTACGAGCGGCGGTGCTGTGTCGCTGAGAGACGTCTACCCCCCCCCAAAAATTGAGATAGTGGGGAAGCGAAGGTGTGGGTGCGGTCCGAGAGGAGATCGTAGGCTCTGAATACCAAGTGTTACGAGTGTAATTGAGTGAACGAACGAGAATTGCACTATCGAAGCAAGAGTACAATGAGCGAAGAATATATAGCGAAACTACAGTGGTAACGGTAATGGACCGTGGTTGTCGCGCGACGGGCCTGGGACTTGTCAGAATATATTTGATATATGTTCTATATAAGCGCATGTAGTTCTAGCTGTAGTGTAGTCACATTATTGTCCTGTGTGGTGGTGCACTACTCCTTGCATGCTTCTCCTCTATATGTACTTGTCATTCTATAGTTGAAACCCTTCTTGCTTGGACAACTCTCTCTTGGCTAGGTTAAACCCTAGCTCCTACTCCTAACTATGCATCCTAAGCCTAAACCTAGTTTCCTAGGTGCTTAGTAATTTGACATGGTATTAGAGTGTTTCGATCCTATGCCTACTACGCTTCCGCTCATGGGCCCCTCTGCCCGCTTTTCTGCCCGTCGGTTTTCTGCCCGTCGATTTCGGATCCCGTCGGTTTTCTGCCCGTCGCGCGCCCCGGGCGCGCGTCGATTTTCTGCTCGTCGCGCGCCCCGGGCGTGCGGCGATTTCGTCCCCGTCGCGCGCCCCGGACGCGCGACGGTTTCCTGCCCGTCGCGCGCCCCGGGCGTGCGACGGTTTTCTGCCCGTCGCGCGCCCCGGGCGTGCGACGGTTTCTGCCCGTCGCGCGCCCTGGACGCGCGACGGGTTCTGCCCGCCAGCGTGCCCTGCTGTCGCCCGCGCACCCCCTACCCCGCCCCCCCGCCCCCCCCCTCCTTCCCCTTCATCTCCATGCTGCGCGTGCGGCAGTGGGGGGGAGGGTATGGGGGTGGCCTCTCTCCCACTGCTGCAGCTGCTGCTGAGGGGGGGAGGGTGTGGGGGGAGCCAAGGGAGTGTGGGGGGAGCTGGGGGTGGCGGGTGTGAGTAAGCTGCCCCTCCTCCTCTCTCTCCCACTGCTGCAGCTGCTGCTGAGGGGGGGAGGGTGTGGGGGGAGCCGAGGGAGTGTGGGGGAGCCGAGGGAGTGGCGCTAGTGTTGTAGAAGGGGGTGTGGGGCAATGGGGGAAGTTGAACGGAGGTAGTCGTCGTGTCGCCAGCAGCGCCAGTAGTCCGGGGCCCTCGTGCTCTCGGTAGCCCAGCGAGCCTGCTGCGCCAGTCGCCCGTGGGTCCGTTGCTCTTGCCGCTCCTCGTAGCCGCCGAGCCAGTTACTCCAGTAGTCCGGGGCGCTGTCCCGGTAGCCACTGTGCCAGCCGCTCCTGTCGCCCGTGTGTCTGCAGCTTCAGCCGACGCCTCGTATCTCCTCTCCTCTCACAGTTCCTCCTCCTCCTCCTCACTTCGCCTCTTCTTCTGCTGCGCCCTGCAGGGTGTACCACTTCAGGGGGTGTTCTGCACATGACTATTCCTGCATGCACTTAGGGGGTGTGTCAGAATATATTTGATATATGTTCTATATAAGCGCATGTAGTTCTAGCTGTAGTGTAGTCACATTATTGTCCTGTGTGGTGGTGCACTACTCCTTGCATGCTTCTCCTCTATATGTACTTGTCATTCTATAGTTGAAACCCTTCTTGCTTGGACAACTCTCTCTTGGCTAGGTTAAACCCTAGCTCCTACTCCTAACTATGCATCCTAAGCCTAAACCTAGTTTCCTAGGTGCCTAATTTGACAGGACTGAGGTTGGGAAAAAGTGTGTCGAAGCGGAGGCCCGGAGCGCGGGTTACCCGCCTAGCCGTGAGGTCGGGGTGCGATGTGAGAAGGTGGCGGGCGGATTGTCGATGCGAGGGTTGCGAGTGGTAACGGTGCTGACTGTGGTGCTACAGTGATGTGCACGTTGAGCAAGTATGCGAAGTAAGGAAAAGGAGATCCCGTTACAACGGTAAACGCTCCCAGGTGGGCTTGAACCACCGACCTTATGGTTAACAGCCATACGCTCTAACCAACTGAGCTACGAGAGCCGTTGGCCTGAGACAGGGTATTATTTAAATTACAACACTTGCTTGTTTTGTAGATTTCTTCTGCTTTACTTGCACTTCTTCAACTTCTGTACCGCATTCTGTACCGCCTAGCAATGACAACAGCAGAAGCCGGAATTGTCGAGTTCCTAGACGCCACAAGCGAGAAACATGGCGGCAGTCACGGCGGTAAAGGGAAGAAGCGGCAGCGGAAGCAGCTGTCTTCGTCGTCCTCATTTTTAGACCGCTTCGATAGTGGCAGCGAGGATGAGCAACAAGGGGGGAAAACTCGTAAACGAGGCGTTCATTCGAACGGAGACGCTTCTAACGGTGCAGAGCAGAAACCAGGGAAGAGAAAAATATCACCGGGAACGGCGGCAGCAGCAGGGTTGTTATTAGACGGAGGTGACATTAACGAGGGGCGAGGTGTAGACGATCGAGGAGCACAAGGCATAGCCTTAGAGGCAGGGCCGTCTGTTGCGCAAAAAGGGGGAGCTGCGGGGGCAAAGGGGAAGGGGGCTGCTGCAGCGCGCAAGGAGAGGGTTAAGGGACAGGGTTTATCGGGATCGCAGGCGGAAGGTTCTAGGGGAGAAGGGTTGGGAGACGAAGAGGAGGGTTTTGCGGAATTCGTAGAGGGGGATGAGGAGGAGAGAGTAGGAGAGAGTGAGGAAGAGGAGGAGAGTGAGGGAGAGGAGGAGAGTGAGGGAGACGAGGGGAGTGAGGGAGAGGAGGGGAGTGAGGGAGAGGAGGGAAGTGAAGAGGACGAGTTGAGGGGAAGTGAGAGTGAGGAAGGGGAGGAGGAAGGAGAGGAAGGAGAGGAGGAGGAGGAGGGGGATGGGGACGGCGCAGGAGCAGCAGGTTCGGGAGCCGCCCCTTCGTCATCTTTCGCAACAGCCTTCGCGAGCATCATGGCGAAGAAGGTCCCTGTTACCGGCAAGGTGCGCGAGAGCAACGGGGTTCCGGGTTTGGGCTTTCCGCCCCTCCTCCTCCCCACTTCCCCCAAGCGCCCATCCTAGCACTCCCCCCTTTCCCCCCCTTATCCCTTCTTAGCTCCCCCCATCTCCTCCCCCAAATCCTCCCCCAGGCGCCCATCCTGGCAGCGCGCAAGAAGCTGCTGGAGGAGGGGAAGGCGGGAGGAGGGGAAGGCGGGAGGAGGGGAAGGCGGGAGGAGGGGAAGGCGGGAGGAGGGGAAGGCGGGAGGAGGGGAGGCGAAGACCTTTCCTTCCCGGTTCCCTGTCCCCACTCTTGCATTAGCCACACTTCCCATTCCCCCCATCCTCCCCCAGGCGCCCATCCTAGCAGCGCGCAAGAAACTCTTGAAAGAGGGGAAGGCGGCAGTAGGAGAGCGAGCTCCATTCACTCCTTACCTTTTTTCCGCCTTCCCGCACCCGTCCCCTTCCGCCCCTTGCCTCTCCCAAATCCTCCCCCAGGAGGTGGGAGGAGGGGAAGGCGGCAGCAGGAGAGCGAGCTCCATTCACTCCTTACCTTTTTTCCGCCTTCCCGCACCCTTACCCTTCCGCATCCTCCCCCCCTGAACCCTCCTCCAGGCGCCCATCCTAGCAGCGCGCAAGAAGCTGCTGGAGGAGGGGAAGGCGGGGGGGACGAGAGCGAGCTTCAGTCACTCCTTACCTTTTTTCCGCCTTCCTCCACCCTTCCCCTTCCGCCTCCTTCCCCCCTTGCCTCCCCCAAATCCTCCCCCAGGCGCCCATCCTAGCAGCGCGCAAGAAGCTGCTGGAGGAGGAAAAGGACAGCAAGGGCGTTCATTGCCCCTCTTGGCTTTCATTTCCCGCTCTTGTTGCTCTGCTCTGCACGCATCCCCTTGCTCTGCTCTGCACGCATCCCCTTGCCTCCCCCAAATCCTCCCCCAGGCGCCCATTTTAGCAGCACGCAAGAAACTGCTGGAGGAGGGGAAGGCGGCAGCAGGGGAGGCGAAGGCCAAAGCAGTGTCGGCAGCTGAGAGGAAGCAGGCGAAGATGATGGTGAGTTTGCTGTTCCTTCTTTTATAGAACATGGTGTGAGGAAGGGGAAGGGGGATGAGAATGCGGCGGCAGGGGAGGCGAAGGCCAAAGCAGCATCAGCAGCTGAGAGGAAACAGGCGAAGCTGATCGCGAGGGTGTGGAGTGCAGTGCCAGTGTGTTGTACCTGTAGATTCTTTACGTTGGTGAGGGTCCGTCCATTAATTCTTAAACCTGCTTTGGGTTGTGGGTTCTTTCCCAACAGTACCCCTTCCCCGCTTTCCCCTTTTCCCGCTTCCCCCGTTTCCCGCTTTCCCCCTTTCCCGCTTTCCCCCTTTCCCGCTTTCCCCCTTTCCCGCTTTCCCCCTTTCTCCTGTCCGCTTCCCCTTCCCCTGTGCGTGCCGCACACCAGGAGAGGGAGGAGATGGCGCATTGGCTGCCAGAGCCGTTTCACTAGCACCGCTCCTCATTCCTTCTCCCTTCCCCCCCCTCCACCACCCGTCCCTTTCCCCTTCACCAACCCCGTGTGTGCCGCACACCAGGAGAGGGAGATGGCACACGTGTTGCCAGAGCCGTTTCTAGGCCCAAAGGAAAAAGCCCTGGTGAAGATCGCGACCAAGGGAGGTGAGAGGAAGAAGAGGGTTGAGGGAGTAACAGAATGAAAGGAAACGAAGGAAATGGGCCATGTGCTGGGGGAGCCGTTTCTTGGCCCAAAGGAAAAGGCCCTGGTGAAGATTGCCACAAAGGGAGGTGAGAGGAGCACGGTGCATGTGGTGAGTGCGTTGAAATCACTTTTGAGAATTCTGAAAAGCACGGTGCATGTGGTGGGTGCGTGCGTGTTCGCCTGTGCTACGTCTCTTCGCATGTCTCTCTCTCACACAATCACTCAGCCCTTTGAAAGTTTCTTGATAGTTCTTAAGAGTTACTCATTGTGCATTGCTGCGAGATATGCCAACGTTTACACCGGCCAACCTCAAGCACCCTGCCAGCTAGGTGACTTTTGAGTCGACTCAAAAGTCACCGCGTTACACCGGCCAACCTCAAGCAGCCTGCTACCTGCCCCTCAATCTGAGGTGCCTTTCAATCTGAGGCGCCCCCCCTTCTTTTCTGCTGTGTGCTCCTTCTGCCCATCCCATTGCGATCCACCCCGCCCCATGCCATATGCCGCCATTCCCCCTGCCGGCCACAGTGGTTCGGCTCTTCAATGCGGTGCGTCCGTGCCAGTGTCCCTATCTCATGTGCCCTTCCATCCCCTGCTCACATTGCCCTTGTGACTTGTCCCTATCGTGTCCACTCCCCCATGCACACTCAGTTCTTACACATTCTCATTTACTGCTCCCCGCCCCTCACTCCACCTGCTACTCACTCCACCTTCTACTCACTCCACCTACTCACTCTCATCCCTCTCTCACCACCCTTTACTTTCTGCGCCCTAACGTGAGACCTCCTTTTCCCTCTTTTGCCCCCACAGGTCAGCAAGGCCCAGAAGGTGCAGAAGCAAGCATCGACCAAAGGTACCCCGTTCCAGCCAGTGTTCCAACTTTCACTCATGCTGACGCCCACTCATGCTGACGCCCACTCATGCTTTATTGGAGCCGGTTTTAAGAGCTCTTATAACAAATTTGTGACATACATGTGATTATTCTATAACAAGTTCATGTTCACCCCCATTCATGTTCACCCCCATTCATGTTCACCCCCATTCATGTTCACCCCCATTCATGTTCACCCCCATTCATGTTCACCCCCATTCATGTTCACCCCCATTCATGTTCACCCCCATTCACGTTCACCACCATTCACGTTCACCACCATTCACGTTCACCCCCATTCACGTTCACCCCCATTCACGTTCACCCCCATTCACGTTCACCCCCATTCACGTTCACCCCCATTCACGTTCACCCCCATTCACGTTCACCCCCATTCACGTTCACCCCCATTCACGTTCACCCCCATTCACGTTCACCCCCATTCACGTTCACCCCCCCAATTCATGTTCACACCCATTCATGCTTACAGACGTGTTTGCTCCGCTCTTGTTTCCGGTGCACTGCCCTTCAGATGCGGATAAAAAAACTAAGGCAGCTTTCCTGACGGAACTAAGAGGCTCAACGGCAACACCTGGCATTGGTGGCATCGGTGGTGCTGCTGCAAGGCAAGGAGGCAAGGTGAGCTCTTGTCATGTGTCCTTTCTCCTGTAACCCTTTTCACGCCTCGTGCCTGCCTGTTGCTGAGGAGCACAGCTGTGCAGAAAGTACAGGTGTTTAAGTCGACTCAAAATTTGCTGTGGAGCTCCATCCTCTTCGGTTGCCCTAACTGGAAGCTCCTCTTCTTCCCTCCCCTTCTCTCAAGCCTTCCTCTGCCTGTTGTCGAGGAGCACAGTTGTGCACACAGTACTTCAGATTCCTCATTTGCTGTTCTTTCTCATAGAGTCCCCTCCTCTTTCATGGCCCTAACAGAAAGCTCTTATTGTTCCCTCCTCTTCTCTCGATTCTTGAGAAATTTCAAGACAAATCCATCTGACTTTATGTCCCCTGTCCCCCCTCTCGCTTTCCCCTTGGACTGCCCTAACTGGAAGCTCTTCCTGTTCCCTCCCCTTCTCTCAATCCTTCCACAGGCCAAGCCAGAGGCTGCCACGTCAGCAGCAACGGCAGCAGAGGAGCCGACGTGGTCCTTGTTGGCCGATAGCTTTCAGCTGGGGCAGTCGAACCTCAAGGGATGGGACAAGGGCGACGAGGTGAGGAGGGGGAAACAGTGAGGAACAGTGAGGAACGGTGAGGAACAGTGAGGAACGGTGAGGAATGCTGAGGTGAGACGAAAAAGTCTGGAATGGGCAGCAGCGGCAGCAGAGGAGCCGACGTGGTCCCTGTTGGCTGATAGCTTCCTGCTGGGCAGTCGAACGTAAAGGGGTGGGACAAGGGCGATGAGGTGAGGCAGAAAGAATGGTCACTGGTAGAGCAGCTGAGGTGATGGGTACACCCTGTTGCAATCCCGGGGTGATAGCTTCCAGCTGGGGCAGTCGGGGTGAGACAAGGGCGACGAGGTGAGGACTGATAGAGCGGTGTGATGCGGTGATGGTTGATCTCTTAATAGTTATGTTCCATGCCCAAGCAGAGGAGGCACCGCGGTCCCTACTGGCCGATAGCTTCCAGCTGGGGCAGTCGAATCTCAAGGGGTGGGACAAGGGCGACAAGGTGAGGAGGAGTGTATAGTGAGGAACAGTGAGGAACGGTGAGGAACGGTGAGGAATGGTGAGGTGAGATGAAACGGTCTGGAATGGGCAGCAGCGCCAACAGAGGAGCCAACATGGTCCTTGTTGGCCGATAGCTTCCAGCTGGGGCAGTCGAATCTCAACGGGTGGGACAAGGGCGACGAGATGAGCAATGATAGAGCGGTGTGATGCGGTGGTGGTTGATATGCAATGTCTTCTGTCCTGACAGCATCGTGTGGGGTGAAGTGTTCGCCAGATAGGGCGATAGGGAATGCAGTCATAGTACTGGCATGGTACGGCGCGCAGCGCACCATTCTCCATTCACTCCCATGCGCACCACACGCCACATGCCCCATGCCCCATGCCCCACACCCCATGCCCCACACCCCATGCCCCACACCCCATGCCCCACGACTCATTTCTTTCCCATCCCCGCTCTTCCCTCTCTTGTTGTTCCCACCACAGGCGCCCATGGCGTTTGACCCCGAGGGCATTGCCATTGGGGGAGCTTGATGACGATGATGAGGATGGGGGGGGGGAGGATGATGAGGCGGATGATGTCACATGCCCTGTGCCCCATACCTTATCCCCTATACCCCCTCTCCCTTGATCCCATACCAACAGGCGCCCATGGCGTTTGACCCTGAAGGGATTGCCATTGGGGCGCTGGATGACGACGAGGATGGGGAGGAGGACGGGGGTGATGATGTCTCATGCCGCATGCATCTCCCCCCATTGCCTCACCACCGCGTTGCCCTTTCCCATCCCCTCCCCCCACCCCCAATACTCTAACAGGCGCCCATGGCGTTTGACCCTGAGGGGATTGCCATCGGGGAGCTTGATGACGACGAGGATGATGGGGGAGGAGGGGAGGATGATGAGGATGAGGAGGAGGAGGACAATGATAATGACTCATGCCCTGTGCCCCATGCATCTCCCCTTCTTGCCTACTTGCCTACAGGCGCCCATGGCCTTTGACCCCGAAGGGATTGCCATTGGGGAGCTTGATGACGACGAGGATGATGGGGGAGGAGGGGAGGATGATGAGGATGAGGAGGATGCTGTGGGTGATATGGAAGAGGAGGACGAGGAGGATAGTGACGAGGACGAATGATGTTAGGAGGAGGATAATGAGTGGGATGCGGGAGGGGAGAACGAGGGTGATCATGGGGATGGTGATGAGGAGGATGCTGTGGATGATATGGACCAAGGAGGGAAGAGGAGGGTAGTGGCGGAAATTAATGATGTTAGGACAATGATAATACGTTACAAGTATGCAGATGACGATATAACTGGCGAAGTAGTTTGCTATAATCTATTGCTGCTCACATAATACAGTTTGTAACATTTAAGAGAATCCAACATTATAGTGGTTTTTTTTACAGATGGCTACACAGAACAGTGCAGCAAACTTGCAAGGAAGAGGAAAAAAAAAGCAGGAATACACTTCTGCAGCACCCCTTCCCCTCTAAACGTTGCTTTTTGTCCTCCTCGGGGCGTAGTACTCAAGGATGTGATAAAACACCACCTGAGCCAGCACACCACCACATCCACTAGCGCATCTCCCAGCGAGAACCCCTGGACAGCAGCGACTCAGGCAGTCTTAACATCACAGAATTACCATATCTGCGCCACATTCGTCTTCATCCTCCTCAGGGCAAGTACCCAAGCGTGCGATAAAACGCCACCTGAATGTGTAGCAGCGATAGAGCCGCCCCGCCACATCAATATATGTGTAGCAGCGACTTTTGAGGCGACTTTTGAGGCGCCTCAAGAGCCGCCACAGGAACACACATTTGTAGCAGCGGCACGGGTGCCTACACGAGCCTTTGCTATACATTCGTCTTCATCCTCCTCAGGGCAAAGTACCCAAGCGTGCGATAAAACGCCACCTGCGCCAGCAACGCCAGCACATCCACCCACGCGTCTCCCAGCGAGAACCCCCGGAACGACGGCGCGTCCGAAATCGGGCAGATGATGGCACTCGGATCGCTTGGCGGGCCGCATTCAAAGGTATCGGAGGGCGAGAACTGGGTTTTGATGATGAGACGGTACGCGTAGTAGGTGAAGGAGATGTACTTGATCCATGCGATGAAGGCGGGGATGGTTTGCAGGTAGTATCCTCCTGCGAGCATGAAGGTGAGGAGGAGGACTGACGCGAGTGTCGTTGCAACCTTCACGTCCATCACTGCTGCTCCTAAAAAGAGCCCGCAGCCCTGCGAGGGGAAAGGGGAAACATGAGGCGAGAGGGGGAGAGGAAAGGGGAGAACTGGGTTTTGATGATGAGGCGGTACGCGTAGTAGGTGAATGAGATGTACTTGATCCATGCGATGAAGGCGGGGATGGTTTGCAGGTAGTATCCTCCTGCGAGCATGAACGTCAGGAGGAGCACCGAGGCGAGTGTCGTTGCAACCTTCACGTCCATCACCGCTGCTCCCAGGAACAGCCCGCAGCCCTGCATGGGATGGTACACATGAGGCAAGAGGGCGACGGGAGAGCATGCATGAGAGCATAGAAGGCGGGGATGGTTTGCCGGTAGTTTCCTCCTGCCAGCATGAACGTTGCGACTTTCACGTCCTCACTGCTGCTCCCAAACAGAGCCCGCAGCCCTGCGAAGGAAAATCAGGAAAGAGAGGGATGGAATTGAAGGGAATGGGCTTGAGAAGGCCATGAAGTAGGCGATGAGGAGGAAGAGCGTGGGGAGGGGAGGAGCAGCAGCACCAGGGGGAGCAGCGCAGCATTTGACAAGACCCACCTGAGCCGTGGTGACAATGAGGTAGGTTGAGAAGAGCAGTCCGAAAAAGGCCCGGCAGTGAGCTTGAGGGAAGCCATGAAGTAGCAGATGAGGAGGAAGAGCGTGGGGAGGGGAGCAGCAGCACCGGACAAAGGCACATGACATGACTCACGGGAGAAGGAAAGAGCACTGCACCGAACCACACATCCCCACCCACCTGAGCTGTGGTCACTATGAGGTAGGTTGAGAAGAGGAGACCAAAGAAGGCCCCGGCAGTGAGCTTGAGGGAAGCCATGAAGTAGGCGATGAGGAGGAAGAGCGTGGGGAGCAGCCACTCCATGGGGAGGTCATACAGCTGGGGAGAGAGAAACAGAGAGCATTACACAGCACCCCACATCCTCCTCTCACCTGAGCCGTGGTGACGATGAGGTAGGTTGAGAAGAGGAGGCCAAAGAAGGCCGCTGCAGTGAGCTTGAGGTTCGCCATGAAGTAGCAGATGAGGAGGAAGAGTGTGGGGAGCAGCCACTACATGGGGAGGTCAGAGAGCTGGCGGCTGAGGTAGTAGGCTGACAGCCGGTACATGTCACTCGCCCTCTCCTTGGCTAGAATGGAGCGCTCCTGCGATGCAGTGCGGTACAATGTGGTACAATGTGGTGGAATGTGGTGAAATGCGGTGGGAAGGGGTGGAAGGCGGTGGAATGGGGTCAAACGGAGATGAGGAAGAGCCAGCAGCCACTCCATGGGGAGGTCTGAGAGCTGGCGGCTGAGGTAGTAGGCTGACAGCCAGTACATGTCGCTCGCCCTCTCCTTGGCTAGAATGGAGCGCTCCTGAGGTACAGTACGGTGGCATGCAGTGCAAAGGTGGAATGCGGTGCAATGCAGTGAGAGGAAGATGAGGAAGAATGTGGGAAGCAGCAAACAAGCGGCAAAGATTGGTTTTTTTTTTTTTTTTTTTTTTTTTTTTTTTCCCGTTGGGGGGGTGGGGGGATGGGGGTGGGGTTGGGGGGAGGAGGCTGACCTGGGGGAAGGTGAAGATGGCGGCAACGAGAGGGAAGAAGCCCCAGAACATGGAGATGAAGAAGAGCAGTCCGACCTGGTGATGGTGGGGAGGGGTGGGAGCATGAAGGGATTTGAAGGGAGGAGACAAGGATGGGAAGAGCGGGAAGAAGCCCCAGAAGATGGAAATGAAGAAGAGCAGTCCGACCTGGTGATGGTTATGAAAATGAACGTGTGATGAAGAGGGGCGTGGGGTGGTGATGAGAAAGGGGGTTTGCCGCCAATCAATGAGAAGGTTCACAGTGATAGGGATGCAAAGAGAGAGAAGAAGCCCCCAGAAGATGGATATAAAAAATAGCAATCCCACCTGGTGAGAATCACAGGGGATGGAAGGGGGAATTGTGGCGAGAATGGGGGCTGATGATACGGAACGAAAGGTGACAAAATGAGAGCTCATAAGAATCCCCAGAAGAACGGCAGTCGCAAATTATCTACATCTGGGCTTTCACCTGACTCTGCACCCTTTTCTAGCCTGATCCCCCACCCGAGTTTTCACATAACCCTCAATGTTCTTTTCCCGCACAATCCTCCATCTGAATTTCCACCTGATCCTGCATCCGACATCTCACCTGGTCCTGAATCTCTGTGGCAGTGTTGCGCTCTGACCCAAACCACAGCATGCCACATATGAAGCCCAGCGCTGTCACCTGGGGGGGTAAACGAGAGGGGCAGATGTGGAGACATGGTCAGGGCAGTACGGCAGGAGTGATGAGGCAGTGTTGCGCTCCGACCCAAACCACAGCATGCCACATATGACGCCCAGCGCTGTCACCTGGAGGGGTGGATGGGCGGGAGGGGAGGAGGGGATGAGAATAGTACCGCACGTGGCAAGCAAACCAACATGAGGAGGGGATGAGGCAGTGTTGCGCTTCGACCCGAACCACAGCATGCCACAGATGAAGCCCAGCGCCGTCACCTGGGGGAGTGGATGTGAGGGAGGGGATGAGGGGATGAGTGAGAATAGTACCGCACGTGGCAAGCCAACCAGCATGAGGAGGGGGCCTGAGACAGTGTTGCGCTCCGAGCCAAACCACAGCGGATAATGGCACATGACACAGATGAAGCCGGGCGCTGTCACCGCAATGGCACATGACACCGATGAAGCCGGGCGCTGTCACCGCAATGGCACATGACACCGATGAAGCCGGGCGCTGTCACCGCAATGGCACATGACACCGATGAAGCCGGGCGCTGTCACCGCAATGGCACATGACACCGATGAAGCCGGGCGCTGTCACCGCAATGGCACATGACACCGATGAAGCCGGGCGCTGTCACCGCAATGGCACATGACACCGATGAAGCCGGGCGCTGTCACCGCAATGGCACATGACACCGATGAAGCCGGGCGCTGTCACCGCAATGGCACATGACACCGATGAAGCCGGGCGCTGTCACCGCAATGGCACATGACACCGATGAAGCCGGGCGCTGTCACCGCAATGGCACATGACACCGATGAAGCCGGGCGCTGTCACCGCAATGGCACATGACACCGATGAAGCCGGGCGCCGTCACCGCAATGGCACATGACACCGATGAAGCCGGGCGCTGTCACCGCAATGGCACATGACACCGATGAAGCCGGGCGCTGTCACCGCAATGGCACATGACACCGATGAAGCCGGGCGCTGTCACCGCAATGGCACATGACACCGATGAAGCCGGGCGCTGTCACCGCAATGGCACATGACACCGATGAAGCCGGGCGCTGTCACCGCAATGGCACATGACACCGATGAAGCCGGGCGCTGTCACCGCAATGGCACATGACACCGATGAAGCCGGGCGCTGTCACCGCAATGGCACATGACACCGATGAAGCCGGGCGCTGTCACCGCAATGGCACATGACACCGATGAAGCCGGGCGCTGTCACCGCAATGGCACATGACACCGATGAAGCCGGGCGCTGTCACCGCAATGGCACATGACACCGATGAAGCCGGGCGCTGTCACCGCAATGGCACATGACACCGATGAAGCCGGGCGCTGTCACCGCAATGGCACATGACACCGATGAAGCCGGGTGCTGTCACCGCAATGGCACATGACACCGATGAAGCCGGGCGCTGTCACCGCAATGGCACATGACACCGATGAAGCCGGGCGCTGTCACCGCAATGGCACATGACACCGATGAAGCCGGGCGCTGTCACCGCAATGGCACATGACACCGATGAAGCCGGGCGCTGTCACCGCAATGGCACATGACACCGATGAAGCCGGGCGCTGTCACCGCAATGGCACATGACACCGATGAAGCCGGGTGCTGTCACCGCAATGGCACATGACACCGATGAAGCCGGGCGCTGTCACCGCAATGGCACATGACACCGATGAAGCCGGGCGCTGTCACCGCAATGGCACATGACTCCCCGTCCCTGTCGTCCCCGGCAAGAATGAATGATGGCCAAAGACCAAGCTCACCTCCTTGACGTCGTGTTGTTGCTCCAGAACGCTCTTCTCCTGCCACTCCTCGCTCTCCCCAAACACACCCGGCAACCGCACATCCGCCGTCGTCCCCGTCGCCAAATCCAGCAGGAAATCCGCCGGGTTCATCGCAAACAGCTGCTCAAATCCCAACCGCCCAAAATACACCATCGCGTCCGCAGCCTGCCCGAAAAAAATCGCGTTGCCCTCCGATAAGAGCAGCAGCTTATCAAACGCGTGGAACAGCCTGGAGGACGGCTGGTGAATGGTAGTAACAACGGTTCGGCCCGATTTGGCGAGGTTTTGAATGACTTGAATGATGCGGAGAGCCGTGGTAGAGTCGAGACCAGACGTGGGTTCATCGAGCAGCAGCATGGAGGGGTTGATGAGGATCTCATGCCCGATGCTCACTCGCTTGCGCTCCCCCCCGGATATGCCGCGGAGGAATGGCCCTCCAATCACTGTATTGCGACATCTGAGGGGGAGAGGGGGGTGGGTTTGGAAAATCCGGGGGAGACCAGCGATTGAGAACAGTTTACACCGGTCAAGCGCGATTCAGAGCGGTTCAAGGTGGTTCAGAGCCGTTCAGAGGCTCTAGGGTGGGTTCATCGAGCAGCAGCATGGAGGGGATGATGAGGATCTCATGCCCGATGCTCACTCGCTTGCGCTCCCCCCCGGATATGCCGCGCAGAAACGGACCCCCAATGACAGTGTTTCGACACCTGGGAGAGCGGAGGGGGTGGGGTGGACAAATTCAGGAGGAAAAGACCGATTCAGAGTGGTTCAGGGTGACTAGGAGGTGTTCAAAGCGGTTCAGAGGCTCTAGGGTGGGTTCATCGAGCAGCAGCGTGGAGGGGCTGATGAGGATTTCATGTCCGATGTTGCCCCACTGCTGCTGCTCCACTTGGGGGGTATGCTCACTTGCTTGAGCTGCCCCACTGCCTGCGTAGCATACCACCCATCTGAGCTCACCAGGACCGCATGGCACACATCACATGCCTACTGAACCCTGCAGCACCCCCTGTTCTCCCAATTCTCCCATGTTTCCACCCACCCACCCACCACAGTCACTTATCAAGCCCCAGCGCAGTGATGGTCTCATCAGCACGCTGCACCTTGTCCGCCCAGCTCAGCTCTTTCAGAGCCCCCATGAGACCCTGGCTCCCATTCCCCTCTTACCCATCCCAACCGCATTACCACACTCACTTATCAAGGCCCAGCTCTGTGATGGTCTCATCAGCACGCTGCACCTTGTCCGCCCAGCTCAGCTCTTTCAGAGCCCCCATGAGACCCTGGCTCCCATTCCCCTCTTACCCATCCCAACCGCATTACCACACTCACTTATCAAGCCCCAGCTCTGTGATGGTCTCATCAGCACGCTGCACCTTGTCCGCCCAGCTCAGCTCCTTGGGCAGGCGCAGCACAGCAGCATACATGAGGGTCTCGCGGACCGTGAGGTGAGGGAAGAATATATCGTCCTGAGTCACGAAGCCCAGCCTGAGGAAATGGGGGAGGACAAGAGAGGAAGAGGGGGGAAACAGGGAGGGAGAGAGGCAGGTGAGCAGGTGAGCTCCTTAGGCAGGCGCAGCACAGCGGCGTACATGAGGGTCTCCTGCACAGTCAGGTGTGGGAAGAATTTATCATCCTGAGTCACAAATCCAAGCCTGAGGGGGTGGCAGACGGGGGAAACAGTAAGGAAACGAGAGAAGCAGAAGGGGGAACCAGGGAGAGGGAGAGAGGGAGGTGAGCTCCTTGGGCAGGCGCAGCACAGCAGCGTAAATGAGGGTCTCGCGCAAAATGAGGCGCGGGAAGAAGATGTCATCCTGATTCACGAAGCCGAGCCTGAGAAAAGGGGAAGAGGAACAAGAGGCAACGAGAGGCAGAGGAAGGAAAGCAGGGAGGGAGAGAGGGAGTGATAAGGAGAGGGAGCTGAGCTGAGCTCCTTGGGCAGGCTGAGTGCAGCACAGCGGCGTACATGAGGGTCTCGCGCACAACATGGTGAGGTGCGGGAGGAATATGTCGTCCTGAGTCACGAAGCCGAGCCTGATAGAAGGGAGAACACCGGCCGGAGACTGAACGGTCAGGGTGCATTAGTTCAGCGCCTCAGAAATCAGAGACTGAACGGTCAGGGTGCACTGATTCAAACCGCCCAGCTCAAACCGCCCTCCAATTCTCTACTCACCCTCTCCCTTCACTCACTTCCCTCACATTCTCTCCACTACCCTCACACACTCTCCCCCTCACATACTTTTTCTTGAGCGCCTTGCTGTAATGCAGGTCGTTATACGTCAGCGTGCCCGCCATGTTGCCCTGCTTGCTTGAACCGCCCCCCCAGCACGTTCAGAAACGTCCTTTAACTATCCCCCATTCCCACACACACACCCTTCCGCACTCGCTTTCTCTTGAGCGCCTTGCTGTAAGGCAGGTCGTTATACGTCAGCGTCCTTGTCATGTTCCCCTGCTTGCTTGAACCGCCCCCGCCAGCCCAGCACGTTCAGAAACGCCCTCTAACCGCACGCACTCCATCCCCTCCCTGGAACTTACTTTCTCTTGAGCGCCTTGCTATAAGGCAGGTCGTTGTAAGTGAGCGTGCCCGCCATGTTGCCCTGCTTGAACCGCCCCCCCAGCACGTTCAGAAACGTCGTCTTGCCTCCCCCCGACGGCCCCATCATCGCCAGCACCTCCCCCGGCGCCACACTCCCGCTTATCCCGTGCAGAATCTCCTTCTCCCGCACCTCCGCGCCCGCTTTCCCCGCCGCCCCCGCTTCCGCGCCTCCCCCAGCGCCTCCCACAGCGCCTCCCCCGCCTGCGGTTCCCCCGCGCTTGGAGGTGAGCACCGCGGGGAGGGCCGGGAGCGTGGGGAGACAGGAGTGGCGCGGATCCCAGGAACCCGCCTTGGCGGTTTGAACCTTGTAGCGCACGTCCTTGAACTGAGACGGGGGGGGGGGGGGGGGGGGGGGGGAAGGGGAAAAGGGGGGAAGGAGGGATGGGGGATGTGTTGGGAGGGAATAAGGGGGAACGGAACGGAAGTGGCGGGTCCAACGAGCCCGCGTTGGCGGTTTGTACCTTGTAGCGCACGTCCTCGAACTGAAAGGGGGAGCAGAGAGGGGGGGATGGGGGAAGGGGGGGATGTGGGGAGGGGGAATGGGAGGGGGAGGGGGCAAGTTTGAGAGGGGGGCGAACAGCGTGGGGAGGCAGGAGTGGCGCGAATCCCAGGAGTCAGCCTTGGCGGTCTGCGCCTTGTAGCGCACGTGTTTGTATCGAATCTCACCTTAACTGTGATTGTATCAGTACCCACACATCGTGTGCCTCTTATCCAACTGTGCTTGTATTGAATCCCTCTTGTATCGAGTCTCACCTTGACTGTTCTTCTTGTTGTATCCGCTCATCGTGTGGCATTTATCCATCACCTTGCTCTTGCGTTGATACACGCCCCCCACTCCTCTCCCTCCTCCTCCCCCTCCTCCTTCACTGCCACAATCTTCCCCTTCTCCCCCCTCCTCCCCCCCATCGCCTCTTCCGCCTCTATCCCTCGCTGAATGCTTCCCGGAAGTCTCTGCTCCATTGGTCGACAGTGCGATACCGCTAACGCTACCGTCAACGTCAACCACGACGTGAGAATCTCCGTTTAGCATTCGACTCCCTTCATGACTCTCCGCATGGCCGTTAGCTTGGCCGTTGATGTGATTGGCTGTCGGAGCAAGAAATAAGGTTAGAGACAGGTCGCCATGGGGTTAGCGGAGGAGACAGGACGCACAGGAGAAGTGAGCCTTAGACTTGAAAATTTCAGCATTGAAAATCCATCTAGTAGTTCATTGAAACTCAAAAGACGAACAGACGATGTACCAAAAACTTCGCTCCTTTCTGCAGCCGCGAGCATGTTTCGAGACGCATAGAAAACTGACGATCTAAGGAGCTGCCTGTCTCCAACCGCGAAAGCAGCGCGGAGTCTGACAGACGTGACTCCCAAGGACTGCGCCTCAGACGACACGTGGGCGACCATCCGCGAAAAAAATACCTTCAAACGGACCGTCTGGATGCAGCCTCTCGGCCTCGTCGCTCCCGCGATCCCCAGGTTGCTCCTGACGAGCCATGATGAACGGTGCTCGTCGAGCCCTGGGTAAGAAACGGCGCTCAACAAACGTAAGCGTCGGATTTCTTTTTTTTGTAGTTCGAAGCTCTCAACCAGGTGTACACTACAAACGGTGTGGGCTAGCAGCCTATTCGCAGTACAGCTGATGCGCCGACAGCCGGTGCGCGTTTACAATCGTCTGTCCGCGAAAGGCGAGAATTAGCGGAAATGACAATCGGTAAACCGTAGTTTAATCCCCACGCGTGTCGGGGTATAGTGTAACGCCTGTGGGCTAAGTGTTAATGGGCATTCCGCTGCGCCAAATAACACCCTCGTTTTGACCTAGTGGGTAGCGAGGTGTTACATTTGGTGTCAGAGCCTAGGGTTCAAATCCCGGATGGACCACACTCTCCGCCTTTGGCGAGAACTGAAGTGCGGTTGTAACCAGCTCGAACCCAGCGAACGATCCTCCGCTGGCCTGAGCAACCAGCGAAGTCGCAGCTAGCAGCACTGCGAAATCTAGGTCCCAGCGGCAGGGGGCCGACTTCCTGAAGTCCAGGGCCAACGGGGACGTTGGCACCAGGGGGGGACGAGTGTAACGCCTGTGGGCTAAGTGTTAATGGGCATTCCGCTGCGCCAAATAACACCCTCGTTTTGACCTAGTGGGTAGCGAGGTGTTACATATAGAGCGGCTTCGAAGCAGGCACGGCAAGGAGCGAATTGCGAGTAAGAGAAACTTATTCCTATCTTCGAGAAGGGGGGAATACTGAAGCGACGTGGTTCGAGACCGACTCAAGACTGCCACCGTGAGAAAGCTATTTACCTCGTGACGAGAAAAGAATTCAAGACGTCGCGGGAGGAGCAGCGCAATTAGCGACGGCTGTTCGGACCCTCGATCGAGCGCACTGATGTTAAGAGCTCGAGCTTGAGAATAATCAAGAATCAGAAAAACGAATAGCGGTACGCTCTAGTGCCCGAGCAGCACTAACTGAATTCCTAGCCAAAGTTGCTCTCTAGGGACTAGACGCTGGTGCCTAGATATACTGCAATCAGCTCGACGTACTACAGTGACCAAGCGAAACACAGCACACTTTCCCTGGCCCTCACTTTCCCTCTGGCCCACCACCACCATCATGTCAAGTTCCCAAGGAATCCAGTCCAGTCCCGAGGCATGTTCACTACACAGTAGGTGACAAATGATTTCGGTGGGTGAGATGTGCGGCTAAGATGCGTTACGTCAGCAGGTCGGAGGGCGTGTACCCTCTCTGACCATCCGATCACTTCCATACCGACGTCGCACCACCACCATTCATCACCCCATGTGGAAGTTCGGTTCCAAAATTAGTACATGCCTACGTGGCGGCTTTTCACTCGGCGTTAGAGACGTAACCCCCAGAAGTTTCATGTCAGAAGCGGTGCGCGGGAGGCTTTACGACTTGTCTTGATTGGTCGGCGGAAAGTGCCTCCTCGAGAATGTCAATTCAAGAGCAGAGCCACGAAGCTTCATATTGAGCCAGCTGACGCAAGCATATTTAGATCACGGTTCTGAAGTTTGGACACCAACTGAAGTGTGGACGCTTTGGTATCAATGAACACGTCTGATTGACTGTCATGCTCCAAGACTTCTCGCAAGTTGTGTGGTGACCAATGATTGGGTGTGTTTACACGTCACTGAGGGAAAAATTTGGTTCTTGGTGTCCGCTTCGCCCAGAACCTTGACCTTAGCATAATTGCAGGGTGACAGCTGGTTGTTGATATTGTACTTTAGCATACGGTACTGAGCCATAAGATTGATGTACACCCTCTTTCTCGCCATTTGTAAATTCGGTTATAATGGAGTCAAGATGGGAAAAGCACGGTTCACGGTGGTTAATTTATGTTTCAGTGAGGTTCAATTTAGCAAATCGAAGATAACAAGGTTTTGCACCTGTTCGGCACAGTTCAGTGTAGCGAGAAACAGGGTGTAATGTTGAAAACACCAACTTGTTACGGGTGCAATGAATCGAAGTAGCGAGAATTGCACTAAGGTGTCAAACGAGTACAAAGATGTGAGCGAAGGCATGAGCGAACATTTATATGCGAAGCATGCAAACGGTAACGCGGTGCGTGCGAGCTAGCTAGTGCTATGCTGGCAGCGAGGCTCGGGCTAGTCCCGAAGCGTAGGCCGACACGGCCGGGCCAGCAGTGCGAGGTTTGGTGAAACAGTGCGCGCGAAGTCGGCGAAGTTCCGTTAGCAGTAACGGGCGAACAACGGCTGTTGCTGTACGCGATGTGGTCGGGCTCCGTAAGGAATGCCGAGAAAATTCCTTACACTACCCCCCCCCCCCCTCAAGAAGCCCCCTCCGCTACGCGAGTGCGTGTATGTCGCGGAATCCCCGGCTCCTCAGGTACACTTGCAGGGCAGGGTGGTTTTCAATGTTGGCCAGGGGCACCCAGCTATCCTCAGTTGGCGTGCGGTCCTTCCAGCGAACGAGGAATTCAATCCTCCTGATTCCCGTGGGGTGTCGAATCCGATGGCTCAGGATTTTTTCGGGCTCGATGATCGGCTCCGATGCAGGGCGAGTCATGGATGGCGGGCGGTGGCGAGGCAATTGGCTTGTGGTTGGGATGTATGGGCGAAGCAAGCTGACGTGGAACGAAGGGCTGATGTACCAGTCGGTCGGTAACAGTAGGTGCGCGGTTACTGGCGTGATCATGTGGGTGATTTGGAATGGGCCACACTAGCGCGGTCGCAGTTTTGGTACGTCGGGCAGTCGCACGTTTTGCGTGTCGAGCAGTACGTAATCCCCTGACTGGTAGGTGACGAGTCGGCGGTGGCGGTCAGCGTTGCGCTTAGCGATGACATTTGCTTTTTTAATTGCTTCTGCAGCTCTGGTGCGGGCAGCTTGCAGAATTTCGGCGAATTGTTGTGCACGTGGTGTCGGATTGTCCGGACTCGGCGTCATGGGCACTGTAGGATTTTGCCCGTAGTTCAGGTAGAAGGGGGACTGCTGCGTCGTCGCTGACGTGGCGTTGTTGTACACGAACTCGATCAGCGGCAGCTGCTGTTCCCAAGTCGTGGGGTCGTCGCACGTGGCACGAATCAACTGCTCCATCGTCTGATTCGTCCGCTCCGTTTGGCCGTCGGTCTCGGGGTGGTACGACGAACTGAACTATAGCCTGGTCCCGAACTGCTCCCAGAGGTTTTTCCAGAAGTTGCTGGTAAACTTCGTGTCCCTGTCGCTGATAATCGTTGCTGGTATCCCGTGCAGGCGAACAACGGCTGCGATGAACAGACGAGCGGTCTCCTCGACTGAGATCGACTTTTTGCACGCAGCGAAGTGTGCCATCTTCGTCAGCCTGTCAACGACGACCATCACCGCGTCGTTACCCCCAGGGTTCGAAGGTAACCCTGTGACGAAGTCCATTGTAACCTGCTGCCAGGCGCGCTCGGGCGGTGGTATCGGCTGCAATTGACCCGCCTTCCGCTTCCTCGAGCTCTTCATCACCTGACACGTGGGGCACGAGCCCACGTGCTGCTGTACGTCGGTCAACAGCTCCGGCCAGTAATAATACCGCTGCAGTTGCTGTCGCGTTTTTTCTACCCCAAAGTGTCCCAAGGTAATTCCGTCGTGTGCCTCCTGCCGTAGCAGCTCCCTCAGTAGTGAGTACGCAGGTACCCAGATGCGGTTGGTGCCTGTTTTTACGTAATAAACTCCTTTAGCTTCTGCCAGTTGCTGCGAGTTTCCAGTCGTGAAAAATGGGTCGGTGCGGTATCCGTGGGTGAATAGGCCTGTTAACAGCGGGTTGGTCTGGGCGAGTAGGATGGCGTGGAGTTGGGCGGTAGGGCGGGTGAGTGCGTCGGCGATGTTAGATGCGCCTTTCTTGTACGTAACCGTGTAGTGGAAGTTGGACTCGAGGTAGTCCAGCCAGCGAATTTGTCGCGGATTGAGATTTGGTTGGGCGCGTAAGTACTGTAGTGATCGGTGGTCTGTCCGTACTGTCACGTCGGCGCCAGTCAGGTAATACCGCCAAACCCTGAACGCGTGCACGATCGCCAACATTTCGCGGTCGTGTATCGGGTAGTTGCGTTCGGGCGGGTGCAGTTTGCGGGACTCGTACGCGATTGGCTGGAGGCCGTTCCCGAAATCCTGCAACAGTACTGCTCCCACAGCGATGTCACTTGCGTCAGTGACGAGCTCGAACGGACGGTGTGGATCTGCGATGTGAAGCACGGGCGGTGAGCACAAAATGTTTTTGAGGGCCGAGAAGGCAGCTTGCTCTTTCTCCCCCCACGTGTACTCAACCCCCTTCCTCAGCAGGTCAGTCAACGGGGCAGTCAGCTTCGCCATGTCGGGGACGAACCGGCGCACGTAGTTGACGAACCCCAGAAAACTCTGCAACTCTGTCAAGTTGGTCGGCGCGTGCCAAGCCTGAATCATCGCAATTTTCTTCGGGTCTATTTCCACTCCTGCGGCTGAAATAACGTGTCCCAAAAACTCCAGACGGTCCTGTAAAAATTCACACTTAGACGCTTTTGTCAGTAGGCGGTTCTCACTCAGTATTTTAAAAGCTGCTTCGATGTCCTGTAAGTGCCGTGCTCTGTCAGGGCTGTAAATCAGTATGTCGTCCAGGTATACTATGACGCACTTATCTAAGAGTGGGTGGAAAGCTTCGTTCATGGTCATTTGGAAAGTGGCGGGGGCGTTGGTCAGTCCGAAGGGCATGACGGTGTATTCGAAGGATCCGTAGCGTGTTCGGAATGCGGTTTTAGGGCAGTCGGGCGGATTGACACGAATCTGATGGTAACCCCCCCGGAGGTCGATTTTCGAGAAAACCCGGGCTGTGCGCAGTTGGTCGATCAGTTCGTCGGCTCGTGGGATGGGGTAACGGGATTTGATGGTAACCGTGTTCAGTGCTCTGTAATCGATGCACATGCGAAATCCCCCGTCTTTTTTCGGTGTAAATAGTATCGGTGCTGCGAAAGGCGACGAACTAGGGCGAATGAACTCCTTCTCGAGCAGGTAATCGAGCTGCTTCCTCAGTTCGTCCAGTTCGGGCTGGGTCAGTCGGAACTGTCGCTGTACTGTTGGTTGTGCCCCCGGTTCCACATCTATTCTGTGATCGTGCGGTCGCTGAGGTGGCAGTCCCGTCGGTAAGTCGTCCGGGAAAATATCACTGTACTGCTTCAACAGTGCTGCCAGGTCACTCGGTACGTCGGTCAGCAGTTTCTGCAAATCCCCTCCCTTGTCTGCTGCCTCGGCTTCCCGAATGTCGACCGCGTACACGTCAGCTCCCGCCGCTACGGCGCGTTTCATCGTGATCGCGTTGACACGCACCGACGAAGACTCAGGCGAGCCCCAGCGAGGTAGGGCGATGTGGTTACCGTTCACTCGCACGGTGCAGTCACCCGTCGTCCAGTCGATTTGCGGATTGTGTCGTCGCAACCAATCACGCCCGAGTAAAATATCGGTTCCGTCGAGGGTCGTTGCGAGCATTTCTTGGCTAAATGTGAAGTTACCCCCGCATCGAATCCGAACCCGGTCTACGCGTTCCCGTATTGCCAGCGGCGTGCCGTCTACCAGTCGTGCGTCGATCTCAGGTAAACATCTGTCCAGTGGCAGTCGCAGTTTTCGTGCTGTAGCAGTGTTGATAAGGCTGTGGCTGGCTCCCCCGTCTACGAAGATTTTAACTAAGTCCGTCCCGATTTTCCCACTAAGCAGTATAGGGCTGTCTACCGTAGTACCCTCCTTATTCGGCCGGGTGTGGTCGATTGCGTGAACCGGCACAATCACTCGGTGAGGGTCGGTTGGGTCGGGCGAGCGGCGTGACCTGTCAGTAGAGGGCCCGTCTGCTACTGACTCCCAGCGTTTCCCTGCTGCTTGGTCTGTTTCTGCTGCTCAGCTTCCCCCTTTCCCTTAGCGTTTTCCGGGCATTCGCTCTTGCGGTGTCCCGGCCGATTACACGCGAAGCAGCGCCCTTTGAACGGTGCGGCAGCGGCATTCGCGGCGACGGCACGTATCGTGGCGCCCTCGTTCGTCCCACGAGACCGATGTCCCCAGTTGCTGCTACTGCCGTAGGACCCCGGTCTCGGTCGGCGGAAGAAGTCGAGCTTCTCCGCCATAGCGAGAATCTCCTGAAAATCGGTGACGCCGCGAAGCTGAATTTCTTGAGCGATGTCGTGCTTCAGGCCGCCGATGTAGCGGTCGATGCGCTCGCTCTCATGCATGTAGCCCACTTGCTCGCATAGCGCCAGAAACCCGCTGATGTAGTCCTGGACGGAACCGAGTTGGCGCCAAGTGCGGAGCTTCTGTCGCGCCGCGATCGAAGCCGCAATTGGCTCAAATCGAGCGCGCAGACCTGCGCACCACGCGTCCCACGTGCGATATTAGGGCACCTCCACGAAATACGACGGCGCCCAGGGTCCGGTTTGTCCTTCCCGTGTCGGTAGAGTCGCGTAGTCATTCGGCTTCGTGACGATGACGCGCCACCAGTCCATGGCGGGTCCTCGCAGCAGCGACACGGCGTAGCGAATTTTCGCCGAATCCTCCGAGACGTAGTTGGCGTCGAAAAACACGTTCATCGTGAACAACCACGCCTGAACGGTAGGACCACCCCGTTGACTCGGGTCAAAGCATGGCGGACGCTGCGGCTTCAGCGGCATCGGTGACGGCAGTCCCGAATCGTGGGTCGGTGCCGAAATCGTGACGCGAGGTTGACTTGGGGCCGCATTCGTCGCTCCGGGGTGTGTCGTGCCGTGGTCGTCGTCTCCGTCGGGGCGGACGACGCCATTACTGGCCGCGCTCGCGGGTTGCCCCACACTTCCGTGCTGTGATGTCTGTGGTGCGGGCTGAATCGGAGTGCCAGGTGCTTGGGATTGTGCCCTTGTGAGGTCGTTTTGCAGGGACGAGCGTTCTGCCGTCAGCGTCGCAATTTCCTCGGCGCTCTCGCGGATTTGTCGCAGCAGATCGTTCAAATGCTCCTGCGTGAGAGTCGTGACGTCGATGTGTTCGGCCATTTTGAAGGACGTCGGCTCGTCTTAGTCCAGGCGCAGTCGTGGCTGCACGCGTTTACGAGAGAACGCGAGGACAGCGGCTCCTAGGTGCTAAGGTACGTAAGTCCCTTCGAGTGAAAAATCAAAAGTTGATTTCCTGGGGTGCGGAGGTGCGCGGTCCGAAAGAAAGGGGCTCTGAATACCAAGTGTTACGGGTGCAATGAATCGAAGTAACGAGAATTGCACTAAGGTGTCAAACGAGTACAAAGATGTGAGCGAAGGCATGAGCGAACATTTATATGCGAAGCATGCAAACGGTAACGCAGTGCGTGCGAGCTAGCTAGTGCTATGCTGGCAGCGAGGCTCGGGCTAGTCCCGAAGCGTAGGCCGACACGGCCGGGCCAGCAGTGCGAGGTTTGGTGAAACAGTGCGCGCGAAGTCGGCGAAGTTCCGTTAGCAGTAACGGGCGAACAACGGCTGTTGTTGTACGCGATGTGGTCGGGCTCCGTAAGGAATGCCGAGAATATTCCTTACACAACTGCACTCAGCAGAGTAGAGTACTTCACATATCATACAGTGCAGTTAATTACAAAATAAAACAAAAGTTCACCGCCCTCTGCCTGCAGATGGCCGCTCTGTTGGCTGTGTTCGTGCTCTGTTAAACACCCTATCTCCCACATCACCACCACCGCTGCCATCACCACCACCATTACAGTTGCCACTGCCACAACCGCCACCACCCAAATGCCCTCCAGCCTTCGCTCCCCCACCACCACCCAACTTCCCTTCCCCCATGCCAACCTGCGCCCTCCTTGCAGCCGCAGCCGCTTTCACGGCAGCAGCAGCCGCCGCGGCAGCAGACGAGCTAGAATTCAAACTGCGCGACTGCGCAAACGCACGAGTAGCAGCAGATGCGCCACGGGAACTGGCACCACCAGCAAAGGGACCACCACCACTGCCACCACCAGCACCACCACTGCCACTGCCAGGCTGGCGGGCGGCGGGATGCGTCATGTTCAGCGGACGATCCTCGCATGTGGAATGGCGGCGGTTCGGCCGAGCCAAAGCTGACGGCATGGAGCGGGACGGGATGTGCAGCGAGCGGCGGCGGCGGATATTACGAGGCGGCGTGAGCGGCGGGGAGCGAGGGGAGGAGGCGGGGGAGGATCCGAGGGGGGAAAGCGGTGGGGAGCGAGGGGGGGATTCGTAAGAAGGGCCAGGGGCAGACGAGTAGAGCTGAGAAGCGGATCGTGCAGGAGTGGTATTGGGGTGAGAGACCGAGAGGGAGGATGGGTGGTTTGGTTGGGGCGCGGTGCGCGAAGAAGGGGAGGGGGAGCGGGAGTCGGGTGAAGGGGAGCGGAGGAGGGGAGGGGGAGGGGGAGAGGAAGGGCGAGGAACGGGGGGAACGCGGGGAGCAGGGGAGGGATCGCGAGAATAAGTGTGGTGGGGGGGGCCGTGGGGGGAGTTGGCGGGGGAGGGGGAGAGGGGGATTGGGGAGCGGGGTGGGCAGGGGTGGAGGGGGGAGAGTGGGCTAGGAGACTGAGGGCTCGTCTGCATGCTCCTCATAGCAGCAAGAATATCAAACAGATCTTCATCATCCTCATCCTCGTCACAAGCTTCCCTGTTATAAGCCCCGGCAAACGGATCCACAAGTACTGTAGATGTACCCCCCCGCACAGCTGCGCCCGCCCCAGAAATCGCCCCAGAAATCGACGGTAGGCCCACCATCCGCGCCTGATCCCCCCCCTGCATTGCCTTGTCAGATGCGGAGCGCCCCAGAGATCTCCCCTCCGCGGAACCCCCTCCGCCGTTCTCTCCGCCAGTCAGCCCCGCGGAGGCAGCTGCGCTCAAGTCGACGGATAGCCGCGAGGCGGGCTGGTAGCGCGCGGAAGCGGAGCGCCTGACCGCGTTGAGTTGCACTTGCGCCGCCTCCGCGCCTTCCTGCGCCGTTGCCCCCGCGCGCCTCCCCGCGTGCTCCTTGCCTGAAACCGACCGCCCCAGTACTCCGCGCCTAGAAAGCACGCTCCCGCCCCCCTTCCCGCTTCCCCCCCCCGACGCTACACACGGACTCGCGTGTCCCGAACCGGAACCCGAACCTGCTTCGCTTGCTTCGTCGCTCTGCGCCGCCAGATCCAGCAGCATTTTCTGAACGTACAGCTGCCGAGCCGACGAGGTTCGGGACAGGCCTGGCGCCCCTGCGCCTGCCACGGTTCCACCCGCGCCACTTGCGCCCGTCCCCTCCTGCGCCTGCGCAAGCAGCGCCCTTTTCGCCAACCCGGGGAGCTCCGGAAGAACGCTCCGCTCATGGGGGAACGAGGGGGAGCCCCGCGATGCGCCGCCCGCAGCTGCCGAGCTTGCCCTGCCCATGGCGGAGAGCGGCGGCGCGGCGGCGCCTGCGCGCGCCCGCGGGGAATCCGCGGGAGAAAGAAGCGCGGAGTGCCGCTCCGAGAAACTAACGGTCCTATTACCGCCGCTGCCCCTTTCCCTGCTCCTACTGCTGCCGCACCCGTTACCGCTACCGCTGCCGCTCCCGCTGCCACTGCTCTCGATAGTGGGGAGGCCTTTAGTGCAGGGGACCAGCTCCTCTAAATGCGGCGCGTTTTGCGGGGAATCTTGCGTCCGCTGGAACTCCAACGACGCCCACGAACGCCCGCGGACGAGCGAGCGGGGGCCTCCGCCGGTAGTGGCGGCGTGCGGTAACATCCGGTGGGACTGCGAACCGAACCCGAACAGCTTCCGCGCACCCGCGGACACCGCTCCGCCAGCCGGAGTGTCTGCGTGCCCCGCATTGCTTCTTGATCTAGCTTGCGCAGCGCTCGCCGGCTGCGCCTGAGATCGCGCGCAGCAGGCTCCGCCAGTTCCCCCCGTCGCGCGCGCCCCGTGCCCGGCGGCGGCCGCCACGCCTCCGGCTTGCTTGACACCCGACTCGTTTCCCAATCCCCGCGCAAGGTCCGAACCACTGAGCCCACTGCAACTGCTTCCGCTACTGCTGACTCCGCTGCCGCCACCGCCGCTGCCACCGCCGACTCCGCCGCCTATTGCGGTCCTTAGCTGCTGCGCTTGCTGCAGCTGTTTCTTCAGGTGGAGGTTCTGCTTCTCCAGGTTTTGATGCGCAATAACCGCCGCAAAGGGTGCCGAAAAAGGCGCCGGCTTACCCCCCCCGGATGGCGCCGTGTAGGAACGTTGCGGAACGTCCGCCGCTTCCTGCGCCCTTACCCTCGCATGCGCGTCCCTTGCGGCGCTAGCTCCGCAGCTCGCTCCGCCCTTGCGCAACAACGTCTCCTGTGGCTTGGCCAGCGCCTGCGCCCTCCCCGCTTGCGCGCGTACTGGCGCTTGGCGCTGCTCCCCCCGCCCCTCCAAACAGCTCGCACTCTTCTGCAGCGCGCGGACGACGGGCCCGCGGAAGGCGGAACCCGCGGAAGCTGCGGAAGGGGGGGAGGTTACGGGGGACCCCGCAGCGGGGCTGCAGTCGGGGGGAGTAGGGGAACCGGTAATGTGGCAGTAAGCCGCTAAGAACTCCTCGTCCGAAGAATCCAAATCTTCTCGAAAACTTTCCGCTTTTCGGGACGCCGCAAGTGCAGCAGCTAGCGCAGCGGAGGAGGAACGCGGGGATACGGAGGGGGAATCGGGGGAAAGAGAGGAAGTGCGGAGTGCCTGCACGGATAGATTACTGCGCGGAGAGCGTGAGGGGAAGGCTTTCTGCTGGCGGTCGCTAGGACTGAGGAAAGAGCATGCGCCTTGGCGGAGTGATGGCGGGAGCGCGGGGGAGCCTTTTTTGTTCGACAGCGCGACTTTTTCTAACGAAGATTTCGGCACGGTTACCAGCAGTGGCGGCACTTCGGAATGGCTTCGCCGGCGCTGCTGCAGCGGCACGGGCGACGAGTGGGCCGAACAGTCCCGGCTCGCGGAACCAGGAACGTAAACGCCGCCGGTAACGGAGACGGAAACCGTTTCCGAGACTGGGTTTCGGCCGGATCTGGCGACGTCGAACGACCTACGGCTACTAGCTGTTCGTCGATCTACCTGCTTCGACCGGCCCTCCGCGCAAGCTTGTGCCAACCAGTTAATCTCCTCCCTGCTGCTACCTTCCCTGCTGCTATTTTCCCTAGCGCTTTCCCTAGTGCCGCCGTCCCTGTAGCTAGCCGTTCTCCGGCTACCTTGCCGGTCGTTACTAATGCTTTGCTCCCACTGCTGACAGCTCTCTAAGCGGCTGCGATTCGGATCTTTCTGCGCCGAGGCGCTGAGCTGCGGCGGCACTTGCCCGAGGGTCAACGAATTTCGCTGGCTGTGGTAACCGTCGTGTGTCCGCGTGTGCGACAACTGCACGTGCTGCTGCTTCTGCTGGTGTAGCACCTGTTTCAGCTGCTGCCGGAGCCGCGAACTAATCACCTCCCAAGGCACGTCCTCCTCGTCATCTTCCTCCTCACGCTCACCTCCCGTCTTCCCGTCATTTCCGGGATATCCGTAATCCACGTCATTTTCGTAATCTCCGTTATCCCTGGCGTCGTCTCCGTCATCTTCTCCGAAAATAGCCGCCCACTCCTGTTCCAAACCCTGCGCGCCGAGCAAGGACGGCCGCTCCTGGAGGCCGCCTGCCGGCCGGCACGCGGCGGCTTTGAGCGCTTCGGATCCGCAGCGCGACGATGGGGACGAGCCGAGCGACGCGGAGAAGCAGTCTGGGGGAGAGAGACGCGCTGCGAGACAGACGGATGGATCTGCGAAAGGATGGCTAGGAGCGAAATGATCGGAAGGATGCATCGTGTCTGGAGGGGAGGGTCGAGCGGCAACGCCCACGTTCATCTTTATCGGCGAGATACTGCTAGCATTCGAATGGGAGTCAAGCGGCTCTAATTTTTCCTTCGAGATACTGCTAGCATTCGAATGGGAGTCAAGCGGCTCTATTTTTTCCTTCGAGAAACTACTAGCATTCGAATGGGAGGAACAGACCGACCGTTGTCGTCACGAAAAATGAGGGGCAAACTTTTATTTTCGGAAACTCTGCTGGCATAGAGTAAAATGAGCTCGGTTGGTAAGTTGTGAGTGCGATGCTTCTGCGATTCGAGCAGAAAGAGAGGCCGTGACGTGAGCCAAGAACAAGTTGCAAACGACGGTGGAAGGACAGGAGGAAAGATAAGAGCGGAGAGAGAACCAGCGTGGAAGGACGGCGAGTGGAAAACCGAGGTGAAGGGGAGGGGAGGGGAGTGGGGGTTGGGGGGATTGTGGGGGAAGAGTGGGGCCGAGTGAGGGGAGGGGAGGGGAGGGGACGGGAGGGGAGGGGAGGGAAAGTGAGGGGGAAAGGAATCTTGGTCGCCTCGCCGCCACAAAACATGCAAGCAGCAGCATTCAACATTCCAACCAAACTCGTTGGAAACGAACCGCCATGCCACAGACCACGGAAATCGGATGGGAACATGGAGGTTCTGGGGTGAGGAATATCGCATCCCAAGAACAGCCATGAAAGTCCTGGGATTTCCGCCCCAGTGAGGAGGTGATGTGAGGAATACAGTTCTCACATCCCAACAGAAGCCGTGAAAGCCTTGCGATTTCCGCGCTCTGCCCTGGTTCTGTTTTCCGTCCCAGGTTCTGGCGCCAACTTGTGGCAGTCGAATTTTTTCCTGACGTGCGCGCCATTGGGCGATACTGTACTGCACCAGGCAGACTTTCAGCAAAACCTCGATTTCCTATGTAGGCTGGGGAAGGGGAGACAGGTTTGGAATGGACACATGGGCTGTTTCGGCATTGAGCTGCTATCTAGGCGGAGCGCGGGCAAGTAAAGAGGAGCAGCAAACCACTAGAAAATGCTGCCGGAAACTTGGAAATCCCGAAATGTTCCGGGAACAAGGTTCAGAACCAAATCTCGAACCGTGAATCTTGGTCAAAGGATGTCAAGTGGAGGTTTCAAATTTGACCTGCCTAGTGTTGGGCGGTTTTTACGAATTCAGGAGGCGGCGCCTTCCTGCCGAAGCTGGCCATTTGTTTGGTTAGGAATTTCGGGCACCCAGCCACTCGCGTTCAAGGTTACACAACCGACCAGCTGTAACGTCCAGCACGGTCTCACCATTGTCTCCGTTTTAGTGGTGTTTGATCCGCTTCATGCAGTGCAAGGACGAACGTGGAAAATCGTGTCATCATTCGAGTCTTGTCACTGTACGGGTAAAGAAACAGAACTTGGGAGGTTTTTCTAGTGCCGTTTGTTGGGTTTCGTGAGATTTGTGGGAACAAAACACAGAATATAACTTTGTATTACAGCCTGCCCAACGGTGGTTAGTGAGGGCAGCGAGTTGGGATCTACAGTAACCGTGAGTGATGGCATGTGAACTGACCAACCAACGCCTGCCTTTCCGCCAGAGACCGTCAGGCATGAAGAGACACGACAAGATGCATGCATGCACGCGTACACCCAAGAAATCTCCATATGATTCACTGCACGAGCCAGCGCGGACGAGGTTAGGTGTGTCGTGTGGCTTGAGTTGGAACCGCTGGGGCTCACACGCTTCTTGCATGGATGGGTTTGATGCCAAAAGGAGGTACCCTTATTGTATGTCCTTCACGAGCAACAAGCAGTAACACGCATTGATAATAACGAGTTTGTGAACAGTTGAACTGACAATCAGTTTAGTTGCATATTTAGCCTTCTATTTTTCTCAAGGGTTGCCTCAACCTGTAGATATTTCATCTTGCCGTGGGCATATGCTAATCAGTGGTGAAGGTGGAACATTACACACATGCTGTGAACAATAGGCAGGCTGCTAATGTTTCCCATGTTAAGAATTGACGAACAAGAGTAAGAAAACAATCCCAACAAAAGGAGACGCTCATCGTCGGGCCTTGAAGGCAAAACGAATAGGGGGTGGAGATATTGCTGCTCTGTGATGGAAGCACATAAAGTCGACTGGCACTGGTGTTTGCACCACCCTGACAGAGAAAGGCAGCACGAGAAGGATACCATGCACACCATACGCAGAGAAAGTAGATAAACCACAAAGAACACTGAATGAAGTACTCTGGTAATGCGGGAAACGGTCAGCAGGCAGGTAAAATTATTTCTGTTGACCGAGACACTGATCTACCCGTTAATGTGACACCAACAAAAATATTAGAAGACTGACTTATCTCGCAACACTGACCTGTTCTCATAAAACTGTGCTGCGACACCGACATGTTATCATACAAACTGTTCCCATGACACCGCCTGTTCTCATGATATTTGTACAAATGATGCAGACGTGTCTCACGGAAAACTTTTCTCGTGACACAGAGATGTCCTCATGCAAACAGTTTATTCCTGTCACACCCAGCCAATCAGCCGCTCAGCCAATCTCGTGACACAAAAAGTGGAACGGGGTGAAAAAGGTAGCTGTTCACATACCCAGAAAGCTGAATGGCTTTTGAGGCGCCTCAAAAGTCACCAAGCCAATCAGCCAATCTCATGACACAAAAAGGTGGGGTGAAGGGGGTACCTCGTGAAAGCTGAATGGGCAGGAAGTCTCCCGTTCTTGTGACACCAACAAGAAATTTGGGTGTCAGACTTATCTCGTGACACAAAAGGTGGGGTGAAGGGGGTACCTGTTCACATCCTCGGACGGCTGAACAGTTCATGTCTCCTCATGCAAACAGTTCAATTCCATGACACCCATACGATCAGCCAATCTCGTGACACAAAGAGGTGGGGTGAAGGGGGTACCTGTTCACATCCTCGGACAGCTGAATGGGCAGGAAGGATTCTCCTGGAAGGTTCACAGCTGCCCAGATGGTGAAGAAAAGACCAGCAGCAAGTTCCATAAAAACCTGCAAAGAGAGGGGGGGGGGGGGAGAGGAGGGAGGAAGGGTTGGGCGAGTGCGAGCAGGGGAGGAGGGGAAGGGGGGTGGGGAGGAAAGGGGGGGAGGGGGGGAGGGGGGGGGGGAGGTAGACGAGGGGGAAGAAGAGGGGGTTGAGAAGTAGTCAGAAGGGAGAAGTGGGGCAGGATGAGGGAGAGGACAACGGCATTGTGACGGACGCGGGAGGAGGCAAGGGAAGGGTTAGCAATGAGAAGCGTGGAGACGAGGGTTGAGGAGAGAAGAACGCAGTCGAGAAGGGAAGACAGCGCACAAAAGATACGGCAAAGAAACGAGGGCGGGGCGGAAAGGAAGGAGGGAAAGGCGGTCGCAGAGGGGCAGTGGAAATGCGACAAAGAGGGAACACCGACAATGGAGGGTAAGGATACGAAAATCCTTGGAGAAGTGATAGGAGAAAAGGGTGAAGCTAGATTGACCCACCCACTGACTTGAATGCTGGGAATCGCACGATGAGAAGAACAGACAGAAGAGTAGGGGGCATACTGACATGCGTGGGTGGCACACTGACGACCTGTGTGGGCGGCAGGATGAATGGCTCATCAAGGTCCTCCAGTTGTTTTGAGACGTCTCAAGACAAATTCAATATCACATACTGACATGCGTGGGTGGCACACTGACTGACCTGTGTGGGCGGCAGGATGAATGGCTCATCAAGGTCCTTCAGTTGTTTTGAGACGTCTCAATACAAATTCAATATCACATACTGACATGCGTGGGTGGCACACTGACTGACCTGTGTGGGAGGCAGGATGAATGGCTCATCAAGGTCCTTCAGTTGTTCCCGGTCTGCATAGAGATTGTGAGTACCAACATGAGAGTCAGTCCGATTCTGTCAAGTGCTTGAGACTTAGTCAGTTGAGATCAGCCGTAGGGAACTTCGCCCGGTAAGATTCAGTAAGATGACAATCATCAGATGGAAATCCATCAATTAAGTTGGTGAAACGAGAATCTGTCAGTAGGAAAATCAGTCACACATGAGAAGTCACCAGCGTGGATGGACAGAACAACAATCTCGATACAGACACCAGGGACGACGCAGGAGGATTACAGATTAGGGTTAGCATAGAAGAGTAAAGTGCGCCGTGAAGAACGAGGTGTGGACGAAGAATATGAGTCCCGCCATTGTCGCGAATGACGGCGAAGGATGGCCAACGAATAGGGTTACCGGAAAAACGTACAGTGCGCCGTGAAGAACGCGGCGTGGACGAAGAATATGAATCCCGCCACCGACGCGATGTAAGGCACTGGGACCGCCATGCGAACAAGTCGCACACGAGCTTAAATCGCACGAAAAGAGTCGCACGATCAGATTCGCACGAACAGTGTCGCGCAATCCGCGTGCACGCGATCAGTGCGGAGCAGACGGGTTGGAAACAACCAGCTTCGGTAGTCGGATCTGATCGTGCGACTCGTTTCGTGGATCAGGCCACTAGACGTCCGGTCAGGTTCTGAATCGTGGCGTCTTTAAATCTAGCATGTGTCTCGTTCTTAGGCTACGCGGCTCTGAATTAGCACAGCCAATTGTACCGTGCGATTCCTGCAAGGTTACGCTGCTCTGGACAAGAAGAACAGCCAAGTGCGACGTGATCCCCGATTTCAATCCCAATTCTGTTAGTCTGTGCTTCTGTCTCTGGTTCTGTCTCAATGGTTTATATCTGTCACACCAGCAAAGCAAATGCAATCATCTGGTGCATCAATTGACAAAATGAATAACATGCTAGTCTATTGGATTAACTGTCTACATACACCTAAACCAAGCCAACACCTATTGCAGTAATAGTTTCATGGTACGGTAATTATCCATTCAAAGTTCCTAATAATGGTCCAAATTTAATATTAATCACTTGTACTATTGTACTACCCATGCACTGTAGGTATGCATGTGGGGTTCCTCTTGGCCGCCAGGAGCAAGCTCCCAACGTTACACCCAAGCACCGCGGTGAGGTGGGAACCATCGCTTGGGACCCCGTTGGGGGGGGAGACAGAACACAAAAGGATACTGGATACTGCCCAGGGGCAGGTGAAAATTAATCTCAAATTCAATGTTGCCCGGTTTTGCTTCCTGACCAGCTGTACAGTTTTGCTCACTGCAAGATTTGCAGTGAGGAACAAGCGATAGCGTTTTGGGACATCTTCCAAAACCCTGATTTTGCTCACTGCAGCTAAGCTGCACTGAGGAAGGCGTGAGTTTTGAGTCATCTCTCAAAACTCACAAATTGTGTACGGAAGAGAGAGAGAGAGAGAGAGAGAGAGAGAGAGAGAGAGAGAGAGAGAGAGAGAGAGAGAGAGAGAGAGAGAGAGAGAGAGAGAGTTAGTGAGTTTTGAGATGTCTCCCAAAACTCAGAGAAGAGAAGAGAGGAGGAACGGAACACTGCAGTGCACTGCAGGACACAACAGAACTGCCACCGGCAGCTCACAACTGAATTTGAGGCGCCTCAAACCAGCAAACAAGGTCCTCACACCCCACTCTCACTCTGATTCTCACTCTACCCTCACACTGCAGCTTGCCGCAATTTTCAACACTAGCTGACTCACACTCAGCCTCACTCTAACTCTCACTCCATCCCCTGACCCTCGCGCTGCAATCTGCTGCAGTTCTAAGCACTTAGCTCTTCCCTCACTCCTCTTCCATCGCACTCTGCTGCCCCCCACACTCTCCCTCTCACTGCCTTCCTCACACTCTGCTTCCCCTGCAACCCCTGTTCCCCGCTAACTGCTCCCCCCTCACTCTGCTTCCCCCCACTCTCCTCCATCCCCTGATTTGCTGCATCTCCTGCATCTCTACTTCATTTCTGCTCCATCTGCATCGTCTGCTTCATCTGCATCATCACTTCACTTCACAGCACCACCAGCAGCTTATGGGCGGGAGGTAGGAGCGAGGAAGGTAGCAGCTGGCCCTCTCTTCTGCTCCCAGCAGCTGCCTGTCGTCTCCAACTGCTGCCGCCACCGCTGGTGCAACTTCTATCATACCCTTCTGCTGCCACCGCTGGTGTCACTAAGGGCCTTGTCTTCTGCTGCTCCCACTGCTTCTGCCACAGCTGGTGTCACCAATGGCCTTTTCTTCTGCTGCTGCCTCTCCTTTTGTTGCTGGCCGTCTCCTTTGCTCCTCCACTCCTCCTATCACTTCATACCACCAGCAGCAGCACACAGGAGGGAGGTAGGAGCGAGGGAGGTAGCACTTGTAGCTGCTGCTGTCTTCTGGTATTGCTGATAGTCCCACTGCTGCCACTGCTGCTGCCATAACAGCAGCACCTCTCCACCTCCACCGAAGCAGCTTCCATCCCATCACTTTGTAGCACCTTTAGCTGCTACCCCACTGCAAGGACTCCCACTTCCATGCAGCTACTGTCGTCCCGTGTTTCCATAGCACCAGCAGTAGCACAGGGGATAGAACAGGAGCGCATGAGGTAGCGGCTGCAGTCCCATCACATTGTAGCACCAGCAGCAGCACAGGCGAGAGAGGCGGGAGAGAGGGAGGTAGCACAAGGCAGCAGCAGCAGGTAGCAACAGCTCAAACTTGCTCATGTCAATGCTGGTACCTTCACTTCGCTCCTCCATGTGGCCAGTGCAGCTGTGCTCTCCGATGCTCTCCTCCCCTCCGCCAACTCCTCTGCTCCTCTCCTGTGTTTCCCCCAAACTCTACTCCCCCACCACTCTGCAACCTGTGTTCCCCTGCTTCCATCTGCGTAATCTCCTTCCCATCTGCGTCATCTCCTTCACAGCTGCATGATCTACTTCACAGCTTCTTCATCCCCTTCACAGCTGCTTCATCCGCTTCACAACTCCTTGGCAGCAAAAGGTAGCTAAAGGTGATGGCAGCTGATGGCCCACTGGCCCGCTGATGGCAGTCCAGCCGCCATGTAGCAGCCGTCTGCTCTGCTCGCCTATAGCAGCCGTCTCATCTGCTCGCCTATAGCAGCCGTTTCCTCTGCTCGCCTGTAGCAGCCGTCTCCTCTGCTCGCCTCTAGCAGCCGTCTCCTTTGCTCGCCTGTAGCAGCCGTCTCCTTTGCTCGCCTGTAGCAGCCGTCTCCTCTGCTCGCCTGTAGCAGCCGTCTCCTCTGCTCGCCTGTAGCAGCCGTCTCCTCTGCTCGCCTGTAGGAGCCGTCTCCTCTGCTCGCCTGTAGCAGCCGTCTCCTCTGCTTGCCTGTAGTAGCCATCTCCTCTGCTCGCCTGTAGCAGCCGTCTGCTCTGCTCGCCTGTAGCAGCCGTCTGCTCTGCTCGCCTGTAGCACCCGTCTCCTCTACATCTCCACTGCTGATCCGTCTCGTCTGCTGCTCCCTCGCCTCTGCGTCCTTCTGTGGAATGGGAGGAGAATGACTAAGGGACGATGAGTGTAAGGCACTGCCTGCACCCACTGACAGGGGGGCCAAGCCAGACCAGGGTGCCAAGACAGAATTCAGAGCAAATGCAAAACCAAGGCAACGACATTTGAAGAAACAAAACAACTCAAGTGAAAAAGAGAATCACCATTGGCAGTGAATAGTAATCCACCACCGTGCTCCTTAGCTCTTTGCACTTCAATGCAGCACCACTCCCCCTCCAGTGCAGCACCACTCCCCATCCAGTGCAGCACCACTCCCCCTCCAGTGCAGCACCACTCCCCATCCAGTGCAGCACCACTCCCCCTCTAGTGCAGCACCACTGCTGCTGCCACTGCTGGTGTCACTGCTGGCCTTCTCTTTCTCCTGCTGCCACTGGTAGTGTCACCACATGCCTCTCCCCTACTCCCACCGCTGGTGTCACTGCGGGTGCCACCTCCAAAGCAGCAGCAGCAGAACCACCTCCCAACGCAGCAGCAACACCACTCCACCACTTCACAGCACCAGCAGCAGCACATGCGAGGGAGGTTGCAGCGAGGCAGCACAAGGAAGCTAAAGGTAGGTACAGCTCGCACCTTGCTGCTGCCAACTCTCGCCCCTACTCTGCTCCTCTCCTCTATTCACCTGCTCATCACCTCTCTTGCAGTGGCCTTCTCTTCTGCACACGGGAGGGAGGCAGCATCATTTTCTTCCTCTGCTGCTCCTCTGCTGCTCTGCAGTGGCCTTCTCTCCTGCTGACACTGCTACTGCCACTGTAGCATCATTTTCTCCCTCTACTCTAAAGTGGTCTTCTCTTTATTTGCGAGCGCCGATGATTGATGATGCTTGCAACCCTCCCACGCCCTTGCTGGCTTGGCAATAGGACCAGACAAGCGCAACCACGTGACCCGACGGAAAACAAACGCTCGGAACGAGCGCTTCCACCCCCAAAACGCGGAAGGAGCCGCACATGTGCAGGAAGTGCAGCGAGCGCTCTTCATTCGCGAGCGCTGATGACCGATGATGCTTGCAACCCTCCCACGCCCATGCCGGCATGGGAATAGGACCAGAAAAGTGCAGCCACGTGACCCAGCGGAAAACAAACGCTCGGAACGAGCGCTTACACCCCCAAAACGCGGAAGGATCCGCACATGTGCAGGAAGTGCAGCGGTCGCTCTTCATTCGCGAGCGCCGATGACCGATGATGCTTGCAACCCTCCCACGCCCTTGCTGGCTTGGAAATAGGACCAGACAAGCGCAGCCACATGACCCGGCGGAACAAAAGCGCTCGAAACGAGCGCTTCCACCCCCAAAACAAGGAAGGACCCGCACATGTGCAAGAAGTGCAGCTGGCGCTCTTCATTCGCGAGCGCCGATGACCGATGATGCTTGCAACCCTCCCACGCTCTTGCTGGCTTGGTAATAGGACCAGACAAGCGCAGCCACGCGACCCGACAGAAGAAAAATGCTCGTAACGAGCGCATCCACCCCCAAAACGTGGAAGAATCCGCACATGTGCAAGAAGTGCAGCAGGCGCTCTTCATTTACGAGCGCCAATGATCGATGATGCTTGCGACCCTCCCACGCCCTTGCTGGCTTGGTAATAGGACCAGCCAAGCGCAGCCACGTGACCCGGGGAAAGAAAAACGCTCCGAACGAGCGCTTCCACCCCCAAAACGCGGAAGGATCCGCACATGTGCCGGTATTGCAGCGAGCGCTCTTCATTTGCGAGCGCCGATCCCGATGATGCTTGTAACCCTCCCACAACCTTGCTGGCTTGGTAATTGGACCAGACAAGCGCAGCCACGTGACCCGGTGGAAGAAAAACGCTAGTAACGAGCCCATCCACCCATAAAACGCGGAAGGATCTGCACATGTGCAGAAGTGCAGTGAGCGCTCTTCATTTGCGAGCGCCGATCACCGATGATGCTTGCAACCCTCCCACGCCATTGCTGGCCGGGTAGTAGGACCAGACAAGCAGAGCCACGTGACCTAGCGTAAGAAAAACGCTCCGAACAAGCGCTTCCACCCCCAAAACGTGGAAGGAGCCGCACTGTGCATGAAGTGCAGCGGGAGCTCTTCACTCGTGAGCGCTGATGACCGATGAAGCTTGCAACCCTCCCACGCCCTAGCTGGCTTGGTAATAGGACTAGACAAGCGCAGCCACGTGACCCAGCAGAAGAAAAACGCTCGGAACGAGCGCTTCCACCCCCAAAACGCGGAAGGACCCGCACATGTGCAGGAAGTGCAGCGGGCGCAATTCATTCGCGAGCGCCGATGACGGATGATGCTTGCAACCCTCCCACGCCCATGCTGGCTTGGTAATAGGACCAGAAAAGTGCAGCCACGGGACCCGGCGGAAAGCAAATGCTCGGAACGAGCGCTTCCACCCCCAAAACGCGGAAGGATCCGCACATGTGCAGGAAGTGCAGCGGTCGCTCTTCATTTGCGAGCGCCGATGACCGATGATGCTTGCGACAAGCCCACGCCCTTGCTGGCTTGGTAATAGGACTAGACCAGTGCAGCCACGTGACTTGGCGGAAGCAAAACGCTCCGAACAAGCGTTTTCACCACCAAAACGCGGAAGGATCCGCACATGTGCAGGAAGTGCAGCGGGCGCTCTTCATTCGCGAGCGCCGATGACCGATGATGCTTGAAACCCTCCCACGCCCTTGCTGGCTTGATAGCAGGACCAGACAAGCGCAGCCAAGTGACCCGACGGAAAAAAAACGCTCGAAACGAGCGCTTCCACCCCCAAAACAAGGAAGGACCCGCACATGTGCAAGAAGTGTAGCGGGCGCTCTTCATTCGCGAGCGCCGATGACCGATGATGCTTGCAACTCTCCCACGCCCTTGTGGGCTTGGAAATAGGACCAGACAAGTGCAGCCACGTGACCCAGCAGAAAACAAACGCTCGGAACGAGCGCTTCCACCCCCCAAACGCGGAAGTAGCCGCACATGTGCAGGAAGTGCAGCTAGCGCTCTTCATTCGCGAGCACTGATGACCGATGATGCTTGCAACCCTCCCATGCCCTTGCTAGCTTGGCAATAGGACCAGACAAGCGCAGCGCGGTGACCCGACAGAAGAAAAACGCTCGGAACAAGCGCTTACACCCCCGAAACGAGGAAGGACCCGCACATGTGCAAGAAGTGCAGCTAGCGCACTTCATTCGCGAGCGCCGATGACCGATGATCCTTGCAACCCTCCCACGCCCTTGCTGGCTTGGTAATAGGACCAGGCAAGCGCAGCCACGTGACCCGGCGGAAGAAGAACGCTCCGAGCGAGCGCTTCCACCCCCAAAACTCGGAAGGATCCGCACATGTGCAGGAAGTGCAGCGAGCGCTCTTCATTCGCAAGCACCGATGACCGATGATGCTTGCAACCCTCCCACGCCCTTGCTGGCTTGGTAACAGGACAAGTCAAGCGCAGCCACACGACCTGGGGAAGAGGAACGCTCGGAACGAGCGCTTCCACCCCCAAAACGCGGAAGGATCCGCACATGTGCAGGAAGTGCAGCGGGTGCTCTTCATTCGCGAGCGCCGATGATCGATGATGCTTAAAACCCTCCCACGCCCTTGCTAGCTTCGTAATAGGACCAGACAAGTGCAGCTACGTGACCCGACGGAAGAAATATGCTCCGAACGAGCGCTTCCACCCCCAAAACGCGGAAGGATCCGCACATGTGCAGGAAGTGCAGCGGGCGCTCTTCATTCGCGAGCGTCGATGATCGATTATGCTTGCAACCCTTCCACGCCCTTGCTAGCTTGGTTATAGGACCAGGCAAGCGTAGCCCCATGACCCGGCGGAAGAAAAATGCCCCGAACGAGCGCTTCCACCCCCAAAACGCGGAAGGATCTGCACTTGTGCGGGAAGCGCAGCAGGCGCTCTTCATTCGCGATCGCCGATAACCGATGATGCTTGCAACCCTCCCACGCCCTTGCTGGCTTGGTAATAGGACCAGAAAAGCGCAGCCATGTGACTCGGCAGAAGAAAAACGCTCGGAACGAGCGCTTCCTCCTCAAAAACGCGGAAGGATCCGTACATGTGCACGAAGTGCAGCGGGCGCTCTTCATTCGCGAGCGCCGATCACCGATGATGCTCGCATCCCTCCCTAGCTCGTGCTAGCTTGGTAATAGGACCAGACAAGTGCAGCCACGTGACCCGGCGGAAGAAAAACGCTCGGATCGAGCGCTTCCACCCCCAAAACGCGGAAGGATCCGCACATGTGCAGGAAGTGCAGCGGGCGCTCTTCATTCGTGAGCGCCGATGTCCGATGATGCTTGCAACCCTCCTGTGCCGTTGCTAGCTTGGTAATAGGACCAGACAAACGCATCCACGAGACCTGGCGGAAGAAAAACGCTCCGAACGAACGCTTCCACCCCCAAAACGCGGAAGGATCCGCATATGTGCAAGAAGTGCAGCGGGCGCTCTTCATTCGCAAGCATCGATGACCGATGATGCTTGCAACCCTCCCACACCCTTGCTAGCTTAGTAATAGAACCAGACAAGCACAGGCCCGTGACCCGGCGGAAGAAAAATGCTCGGAACGAGCACTTCCACCCCCTAAACGCGGAAGGATCCGCACATGTGCAGGAAGTGCAGCGTCCGCTCTTCATTCGCGAGCTCCGATGACCGATGATGCTTGCAACCCTCCCATGCTCTTGCTGGCTTGGTAATAGGACCAGACAAGCGCAGCCCCATGACCCGGCGGAAGAAAAACGCTCGGAACAAGCGCTTCCACCCCTAAAATGCGGAAGGATCCGCACATGTGCAGGAAGTGCAGCGGACGCTCTTCATTCGCGAGCGCCGATGACCGATGATGCTTGCAACCCTCCCACGCTCTTGCTGGCTTGGTAATAGGACTAGACAAGCGCAGCCATGTGACCGAACAGAAGAAAAACCCTCAGAACGAGGGCTTCCACCCCAAAAACGAGGAAGGATCCGCACATGTGTAGGAAGTGCAGCGAGCGCTCTTCATTCGCGAGCACCAATGAATGATGATGCTTGCAACCCCCCCACACCCTTGCTAGCTTTGTAATAGGACCATATTTGACCAGTCGTGCATGGTACCTGCACTACCGGCTCGCATATCGATCAAACTTACCAGCGTATTTTTCATGTTTGTAGAG